TCGCGTTCAATGGTTTTATTGCAGGTTTAGAATATCTTGGTTTCATTTTAGCTGTATTGTTTGTACCTGAATATTCCAATGTGGGTCTTCGTGGAGAGGATAAGCGTTATTTGGAGTTGAGAACTCGCTATGCGGCTCGTTTGGCTAAGAAATATGGAGTTGTACCTGCACATGGAGATGATCAAGAAGCAACTCGCTTGGGTCGCTATTCTGTTTGGACTTTGATATCTCGTAAATTGAGTGGTTCACGCGAGAGCTATGAAGAAGCTAAAATGGAATATATTCGGATGTTATTGTCTCGTTGTTCTCTTGAAACAAGTGAACAAGTGGATTATTATGCCAATGTACCTATTTATTATGATGATCGTACGTTGATATCTCATTGGTATAGAAGATGGTCGATGGGTAAAGAAGCAGCTGAAGAATATATTCGTCAAGCTCACTTGTTGGGTGAATCCACCACTACTGAAGAAGAAAAGAATATATCTCATGATAAGGGTGATTCTGTATCTCAACAATTGAAAGATGAAGTAGTAACTTCGAAAGAAGAAGCTGTGCGTGGGACTTATCAAGAAGCATCTCACACACTGTTAGAAGATAATAAGCGTTGATATGATGATAAAAAGAGTTGTTGTGTGTGCTTTTGTGTGAGTTTGAAAATAAAGTATGGACAAATGAGAAGAATTGGATAAAGGATTTGTTGTTTTAGGAGGAGAGGTGATGAAGAAATCATAGAATGCGGTTGCTATTCCAAAGTCACAAGTTGAGTATATATTCTCATAGTTTATGTTGCCAAAAGAAAGTGACTCGTCGTCATATTGACTTGTGGTTCCACTGTTATGGACAACAAAGCAACTATTATGTGTGCCGTCGTGACTGGAAACCAACTTGTTCTCTCGTAGCTATTTCTTCTTCTCACGTTACTCAAATACCACTCGTGAAAAGACTCGAAAACTACCTCTCCCAAGCACGAGTACCTAACCACGACCAACTCACTTTCATACAAAGAGCACACAGGTATTATCAACAAGGAGAGATTCCAAGCAACTGCGAACAAGTGTTGGTGGAATGGTACCACTCTTATTTACAAGCTGTTTGTTCTGCTGGTATGAAGATGGATCCTAATCTATTTACAGAAACTATGTTTCAAGTATTGTTGGAATTGGTGCGTCGTTGTTGTCAACACAGATATCCTTTCGAACCTTTTCATCAAAGTATACGAGAACCGTTTGATTATTTAGAGTTTGGGTTGGACTTTGCTAGACCTATAGTACACGTTGCCAAGTCTATCATATTGGGAACTGAATATATTATCGGTAGCATACCACAACAGTTGGAACGAGGAGAGAATGTGGTGTTCTTTTCGAATCATCAAAGTGAAGGTGATCCTCACGCCATTCATGTGTTGTTGGAAGAAAAACTGGGACAAGGAAAGTTGGCAGAGAAAATAATATTCATGGCAGGTGACCGAGTGAGAGATGATCCAGTAGCAATGCCATTTTCTATGGGGAGAAACTTATTAACCGTATATTCTAAAAGACATATCAATGACTTTCCAGAAACCAAAGCAGATAAACTGACACATAATAGAAAGACAATAGCAGTAAGTAAACTTGTCTTCTCGTCACAATATCCATATAACTGAAGAATATAGAAAATGCAACAATTACTAGAACAAGGAGGAAATATGATTTGGTTTGCACCGAGTGGCGGAAGGGATAGAAGAGATTCCCATTCAGGTCTCGTCAAAGTTGCCGATTTTGTACCAGAATCATTGGAATTGATGCGTTTTGTAGCGTCTCAAGTGAAAACTGTCGTTCATTTCTATCCAATGGCTTTAAGAACTTGGGATTTATTACCACCTCCTGATCATATTCAAGTAGCGTTGGGAGAAAAGCGATATGTTCGTTATGTTCCCATTGGTCTGGCTATTGGTGAACCTATACAATGGCCTTGGATGAAACAAGAACCACCTAATGGTGTTGGAAAAGAACAAATTCGTCAAGAAAGAGCTTCCCATCTTCATCACAAAGTAAAGGAATTGTATGAAAAACTCGGTGGATTGGAACAATAAAATGGGCTATTCATACTCTTCTTTCTCAGTTGTTGTTATATGATTAGGTATGATATGCTTACAAAGAGAATACCAATCTCGTTTCCAAGAGCCTAGTTGTACTTCAACTGGGTCAACATCTGTCTTTCTCAAGTGAACTTCAGAAAACACCGGTACTTGACGATATATTTCAAAACCTAGACGACGAAACAAACCCAACGAAGCAGTGTTGCCGGTGGCTATTTTGGCAATAAAAGTATTCAAACCTAAGTATCGGTTGACAAACAACAACAACAACTGCACAGCTTCCGTTGCTAACCCTAGACGACGATAACTAGTCTCTGCTATCATCACTTCCACTTCCACTGCACTGCTATCTTCATCTTGAAGAAGAAATGCATTCACATCTCCTACAATTTGTTGTGGTTGTTCTTGTTGTATATAAATTATGATGAAACTACATTTGTGAGGGTCTTCTCTCCAAGATATTTGGTTTTCATATTCTTCTTTTAAAGAAAGAGGCTCCGTTGCAGTTTGTTCCAACAAGGTTTTATTTTGCATCCACGTGTGATAAAGAGGTACAAACTCTTTTTCATAAGGAGCTAACAATACTTGCTTTCCCTTTAAGCACAAGTCTTCATTAGCTCTCATTTTTTGGGTTACAATACGATTGAATAAGGAGAGAAGTACAATGGGCTTGTTCAGTAAAGATACATGATCATCATCGACATGACCTAGTTTTTATATTGGAAGAGTCGATCCAAAAGAGAAGAAACGATACTATGATAGGGACATCCTCCTTTTTTTTCTCGGTGGAAATGAAAAGTGGCATTTGACTTCTCAGCACAAACAAATACAAACGTTCAGTTACACAAACATATGTATATTTTATATAATGAATAGAGACTTGCGTAGTACTAATACCAATATTGAGGAAGACCAGAGAAAAACACAAAAGAAACCAACACAAAAAATAAACTGCTCTATTGTTCTCTTCACACAACATGTCATGTTTGGTTCTCTCGTCAGATATTCGATTACTGCTTGATAATAACATGCCGTTTTCCCGTTTCTTTTTGTAAAAAAGCAATATACTTACACGCGCGTTTAATAAGGTTAGATTTGCTTTCTCTTCTGCTACATTCAGAAGAAGGTAACAATTCTCGCAACTTTTCCAAGTTATGATTCAATCTTGCTCTACTTCTACGAGTCTTCGCAAATTGAGTACCATCAAATGAACCAGAATCACTTTCATCCGCATCCACTGTAGAGTAACTGCTGTCACGATTGGATACTGGAGACAGTACTTGAAAGCTGGAACCATTCACTTGAGCAATTCGCCCAGGTGGACAACTCCTCCTCGTCACAAGTTTCCCTATAACATCACTATCCTTTTCGTCACTTTCATGATGATGATCTGTAAGACCATAAACTTGTGAATTTCTCACTGTATTGGTAGGCAATGAAGTACTTCTCTGCAAAGAAAAACAACTTTCCGAAGTAAGTTGTGAACTCAAGGAAGAATTACTCCACTGATGTCCAAGAGTCCCTCCCTGTAACTGCTCAAAGGTTATTCCGTAAGAGTCATCACTGTGAAAGTGATTTAAGGAAGCTGGAAGGTGCTCTTCGTACAGTTTCCTGGAAAAACAACGAAAGCCAAGAGCATCACCGTCATCCAAACTAGGCAATAGGTAACTCCCGCTCTGTTCCAATCGAGAAGAATACGGTCTTTCACTCTCCAAAGTATCTGCTTCAAGCATATCACCGCCTTCTGTTAGAGAGAAAAATGAAGTTGAAAATGGCGACGCCATAATCCTAGGGAAACTACAACCAACCAATCCCTCTCAAATAACCCCCTCACTAGGTATCCAAGGAGGGCCTTTAGACAGATAATATAAATAAAGTAGCTCGCCTCAAGTTGTTACCACAGGTAGAGCCGAGAGAGAAACTCCTTAGCGTCAACCACAATCGGACAACACAACGATTACGAAGGATTCTATTCTGAGCTGGGACCTGTTCTTGCTGATTCATGTAGGGACTAGGATTATCCCTTTCGGATGAATTTGATTGGTCGATTGAATCACAACGGGCCGTATCATGACAAATCACTTTTTTGCTCATTCGTAGTACATGTTGTTGTCACAAGGAAAATTTGTACGTAAGGCTAAACGACAAGGAACCATCTCGAGTTCAAAACAAATAGGTTGTGGCCACTTTCAGATACTGGGAAACATTCGCACGCTTTAAGTTTCCTTGTAGTACTTGTTTCTGTAGAGGAGAGTGAGGTTGCCCCCTCTCGCTACTTTGTAGACACGCAAGTCCTCGTCAACCCTAAAGTTAAGAGAAAAACGTGTTCTTAATCAGTTTTACATAGTGGCTCAGTGAAGACTATTTGCAACCAGGATGATAAGAGGGTCTACTATCGTCAAGTGGTACGTTGTCTTGTTTTCCCCTAGTAGGTTGGACCTTCCAACTTCGAAACTTGTCAAGATTTGCATAACTGTACAATTTGATAAAAAATACCTTAACCTGATATCCTCAAATAGCTTTTTCCAAAGACCGTCGATTTGTGAATATCCTGGTACATATATTACAAGTCATATTTAGTAATAGAACCAAATGGGTTCTACTATCTTCAAAAGAAGGATCTATTCTATTCAACAAGCAACAAAGTGTTCTCGTTCTTTATCGTCAGTAGAAAACATAACTACATTATGCCATCAGAATAAGAAGCCTAATATCAAGATAACAAAGAAGGCAGTATTTCATTGCTTCTCTTGCTGCCATATTTCATAGCATAGAAATGTCGTTGTTTAAACCGCGACAAGTTTTGATGACAAAAGTTTCCTAAGAAGACACACCAAATAGCATGTTTCGCACCCTTGTTGAAATGATTTGAATTCTTCCCACGTGGCTGGTTTCTAGATTAGAATGCGCATCCACATTCTCCCCATCCCTGTTCGGCTGGGCCAAAGAGGTGCGCAACCCCTGTTTACAAGCCCGCCTCAATTATACCTAACTCGGAATGATTCTTTTTGTGGGTAAACATGGTGCGTAACGGTATGCATGTATATGGTAAACAAAGTTAAACTACAACAGGAAGCTAAATGAACAACTATTTAACCATCTATAGCTTGCTCATTACTCTGTTGGCTTGTTCAGTGGTCTCTGCAACACAACACAACTGTTCCTGTTATATATATGTCGGCGGCTATTATGGACAACAGCCTTATCTTCTGGGTAATATAGATAATATGACTACCTGCATGAATTGTACACAAGAAAACTGTCAATCAACTTTTGCTAGTGTGTTAGATGCACTTGAACAATATTACAAGTATGCATATCCATTCTATATCTATCCGTATTGCCCGCAACCACAACCTTCAAGTAATACGACGGTACAGTCTCAAGTGAGCGAACAAATACAAGAGAATATCCAAGTGTCGTCCAATCTACCCAACGTGAAAGTGAATATAAGTTCCGTTGCAGATGTGAATGTGAAAGAGAATGTGCAAGATTATTATTATCCTTCTGATTATTACGGCTACTACCCTTCTGACTACTACAATTATTATTATTATTCTTCATGGTATAATCCTTATTATTATTATTATTATCAGCCAGAATGTTGTCAAGGAGATTGTGGTGAACGTTACAATGTGTCCCAACAACTGGCCACTATGAATACCCAGATTCAAAGCATTATGCAAATGTTGGAGAGTTTGAATCAAACCAACGAAATAGATGGAATGGCTACCAATCTGACTATTCTTGCCAACTATGTTTCCATGTTTGAGAGTACCACCAATTCCAGCTTGAACTCGACTCAAACTATGTTGTCCAACATAGAAATGGACATGAGCAATAACTTTACGAAATTGTACAATGAAATGATGAGTCTTGGAAAGAACCTCAGCAAGGACAGTAACCATACGAAGGAAGAGATACAACAAGTTATTTACGATTTGGAACAATTGAATGGAACCATGTCCTCTCTTAACTACACGACAAGTATCGACATAATAGAGACGAATATTTCTACATTGAATAGGGAATATAAGGATTTGAAAAGAAATATGTCATCATTGCGAAGTCAACTTGCAACGGCAACCAGTTCCAGTGATCCATCCAACAAAGCCGTGTCTTCCAGTTCAACTAGCCCTACTGCAATTGCTGGCGTTGTGTTGGGAAGCGTTGCAGTTGCAGGGATTGTAGTGGTTATTGTTTTAGTAGTTATGCGTATTATTGTGTAGTCGTTGCTGTCTTTCGGAATAAAGATGCTCCCTGTAGTTGTTTGTGTTAGAAAACAGTGGCTTTTAAAGGTACTACTAATTATCTCTAGTGACTTCAATTATTTCCAACATTTTGTAGCTAAAAAACAATTTTGAGAATCCTAACAGGAGCTTTCCAACTGGAAACTATACTCCTTCCCTACAATCCTCTGAAAGATAACCTATAAGACAAGCTGATAGCAAAAATTCCGCGTTTACCCACGGATGTTTGGCAAGAAATAACTTTGTTGCATCCTACAACAACCTTCAACAACCAACTTGTCCCTTAAATTGACTTACTTTCCCAATAGCACGACAAATTTCAGCCTCTCCTCCTGGATGAAAAGGAATATATTCTGTAACGTCGTACACTTTCCCACGAAGAACCTTTAAGAATGAACAACAACTTTTGCACAATTGTACAAACAAGTAACCTACCAACCACGCGTCGTCTTTCCGGTTGTGTTGTTTGACTTGTTCCATACGTATGGGAACTGTTGTCGTGCGAGTTTTATTCCGTTTGCTTCTTAACCAGTCTACTTGGCTGTATCCTGGGGACGAAGGTTTTTTGATCATGCATGCTATAATTTCGCCGATTCCATGATTGGTGTCTGATGTGATGCATTTTTGTTCTCACTAGCTTCTTTTTCTATTTATGTTGACATGCATGCTATCTTTGCGACGTTTCGATAGAACTCGTGTCTGTGCACCATTTTAGTTCTCACCAGCTTCCTTTTCTATATATCTCACAGAAACCAACTCTTTGCTTCTAGGATAGAACAAAACAGTCAATGGAAATCACTAGTTGCTTGAATTGCTCCTAAACTTTTCGATCATTTTCTTATCGAGATAATAAAATAAGGAGTTGCTTTCAAGAGATGTTCATCCACCTTTCATTACTTTTGATACAATACATATTTATCAGTTGACAGTGTAATTGATTTTCAAGTGTTTTGTGAAGATAGAATCGAAATGTAACGTATATGGATTGCATTCAAAGAAAGAAACGAATTTAACTTTAGAAAACTCAAAGGCTGCCTAAACAAGGCAAAAAACACAACACTAAAAATATAACTATGGATATAACGACTTTCACTTCTTTGGTGCCGTTGTCGGTGTCGGTGTCGGCTTGAGATATTTAAAATCTGAATCATCCTCACGTTTTTCCAGATCTGCCTCCAGAGCCTTATAAATATAAGTACCTTTGCCTCCGAATAATGCTTTGAAAGCGTCATAAATTCCACTGATTTGACTTCTTATAATCTCGAGGTCCTCGTCAATGGTATCATCAACATTTGTCTGACTATAAAGGCAAGTAGAATTGAAATTGATGCTGTCAGCAAAGGAACTACACATACTGTCACAAGAAGATTCGGTGCAAGAATCAATCAGTTGGATGATAGGCTCTAATGCACCTTCAAGCTTACATAAGCAAACGTCGGCTTGGTGAGTATAATCAATGGTAGTGGATCCCGAGACATAAGCAAGCAAGCTAAAGATGAGAATTAGCTGAATAAACACGCCTTTTGGTGACATAGATGGTTGATACAACTGAAAAGACTACTGAAAAAATGGAAATGACAAGAGCTGCAATAGCAACGGAACTTGTATAACTAGTTGAAGAAACCGAATCTACTGTATCACGAACTGCGTCTAGTAGGCAGTGGGTAGAGTTTACAGTACTAGAACAGAATTGAGTACAGTCACAACTGTCGCAACTATGAACAGATGTGAGCACCGGTACAATACTCGATGCACAAAAGCAAGCGCACAAAAACATCAATTCTGCACGGTGCAACACCCTCGTATTTAAGCTATTATTCTGGATCACAAGCTTTCTAGAAAATGAACGTGTGCGCAACTTTGATGCGCAACTCACAAGGTGATCCACCAATGAATGGTTAGCAATTGCCAGCAAATATTCCAGGTCCAAGGGAAGAGGAGAAATGGATGCGCAACTCACCTGCGATGGATGATGGAAAATTGAGCTGGTTTCAATAGGTGACTTGTTCATTGATTGAAGACGAGTTGATTTTCAGCTTGTTTTTTTGGCGTCAAGTCAACCTCTTCTCATTGTTATCAAGTCGATTGTTGTTATACAATGGAGAAAAGAGCCCAGTTAAGGCTGTTATTCTGGCTCGTTTGTATACTTATTATTGTACAATTTGCGAGGAGAGCAAATACTATTCCTCTTTCTGCTACACAAAATTATGATTTATGCATTTGTTTCGAAAAGCCTTCTTTATATTTATCTCCAATTTTTTATCCGATAGATATTTGTGATGATACCAGCTGCTACGGGATCTGTCACGATTTCGTCTCGTTTGATGCAGAGCTGTTATACGCTCTGTGTTTCTTGAATTCCCATAGAGTCACTCAACTGTCAAGCAAGGTGTCCCAACACGAATCGCAATTAAAAGGAATTTATGAAGCCTTTCAAGTTTTATATGGAGTTAATAATACTTACATATATGAAGAGTTGTATAGTTATTTGCAAGGCACAAATTCCAGTGTTCAAGAAACCTCCACAGGTTTATTATCTTAACTTTAGTTGGAATATTGCCAACCAGTATTACACTGTATGATTGAATCTGTCTTGAAGGTGGGTACAAGTTTAGCTCAACCGTGGAAAGCATCATCAAAACTGAAATTCCGGTCAGGTACGCTAGGCCTATATTGCAAAAAGTTGAAAGAGTAGCTTCAATTTATTTTCTTACTAAAAAAAATAAAAATTGGATTAACTGGAAATAGGTTTTGGTTGTAGGCAAGTGTTCAGTTTAATGGTATCATTAACCATAATGTGCAAGATATTCGAGAACGGCAAAATGAAATCAAGTCTTTGAACTGGGAAGCCAAAAACTGTTGAGAAAATATTCTTCAATATACTTTCTCAACAAGACTAACTGTTCTCTCTTCGTCCAAACATAAGTAACTTGGGAAGAGATAGAAAACAGTTTACTTTTATACAACATTTCAAACCTTTCAAAGTGTTCTCTTGTTGTATTATTCGATACACTTCCTTGCCCGTATCCTAATTGCACTCCTTTGCAAAATACGCAAGTTGAAGTCTGTGTTTCAAGATTTCTAGCTTTCTATATTATATACAAAGCTTAGCACATTCCTAATATAAGGTAGCAACTCTTTTCTTTATTTTTTTCTTTTAAAAAGGCAAACAGTCTCTCTATTGAACAAGGACATTCTCATCGACGAGAATTAGACAAGAATTTTTCCATTGTTACTCAGCAATGCGGGTGGGGTTCGCATCTACAAAGATTTCTCTTGTTTGGTTTGCTTTCAACTGCTTCATTTTGGTTGTTATTTTCAGTAGTCGACGAAAAATAACTTGTGTGAACGAGGAGACAAATGTTATCCATGAGGCATCATTTCCAAAGTATACCTTTCAGCCTCTTCTCACAGAGGACGGTGTCTCCACTGATACACAATCTATAACTAGACTTAGCTTAAAAGACTACGTTTTAAGTATCAGTAATTCGAACCCTCCCTATTATTTCGTTGCATTCAAAGCACGAATTGACTCCATCGTTTCTGCTAGCATGCTGTCATCTGGTGGATATTTTGATAGGTTCGTACATCATATATTTGATTGGCATCATCAAAATAGAAACAATCGACTTTCTACTGTCGATAATATGCACTCTTCAAAAAGTCGAGTTGGACATTGTCTTTGTCTAGATATTGGAACGAACTTTGGCTCCTTTGGTCTATATGCTGCTAGTAAAAACTGTGAAGTTTTTGGTTTTGAGGTTCAATCATCAGTATTTCTTGGAGTCGCAATGGCTGTGAGAATCAATTCTTTTGGAGACCGTTTTCACTTGATGAGGAGAGCAGTATCGAACATCAGTGGAGCCCGAGTGCAAGTTGGCTTTGTATCAGACAAAAATGTTGGAGGAACATCTGTTTCATATGACGTAGAGGCTGTTGGTAGTGAAAATGTCTCTACTATTCGTATAGATGAAGTTATTCCGTATCCTACTAGTATCACTTTTCTCAAGTTGGATGTGGAAGGTAGCGAATGGAGAGCAATGCTTGGAATGCAATCCTTTTTTCAACATCAGTTGGTGGATGGTGTAGTAGTAGAAGTCCGAAATGACGATGCATCCAACAATGTCATTAGGCATTTATATGAATGGGGTTACGTATGCATGAACGTGAATAGCATTACCTACCCTTTAAATTTGTCTGCTGAAATACAATCTTTTCCTTTTCTAACGACGGTAGATAATGCTCTAAAGGAAACAAATGGTCTCAACAACTCATTTTATTTTAAAACTTTGTAGGTTTCCAAATGGTTGATGATATCCGATTGATTTTTGTAGCTGAAGCTATTTGAAAGTAGCATTATTTTGTCTCAACCATATCCATGAATCTGATGTTGGTTGCCATCAGCCACCTTTAGGATTGTTGGAAACTGGGCACGCACCACATGCTATGATTGTGAAAAATGAATTTTCGTGTAGCAACGAGGAAAACTCTTTAAAGTTTCGTAAGAATAGAACCTTCTAGTTACTGTCGCAGAAGAAGAATTTTTTGTATGATAAACAGGTTTCCAAATATTTTATGAATTCTTACTAGATACAAAGTATATCAGTGCACTTTCAACCATTTATTCAACAGTCTCAAGTAGCTTTGTACGAATCTTTTCTTCCCACTTCCGAAGAGGTAAATTGTTAGAACTCCGAATAGGTAACAATTTCATTCAACTGTCTCAAGTGTCCTAAATAAAGTCACTGGATGTCTTGAAATGCACTTATAGATTACTTTCACTCCAACTGAGGCAAGATTATCAGAATTCTCTGACTAGTCATACATTTTCATGAGTGAAGAGCAGAAAATTGAAAGAAATACTGACGATGGCATAAATACTCAAAAGGCCTTGCAAGCTTTGTCTCTAATGAGCCAAACTGAACAGCTGTGCACTTGTTGTACTGATTTGTTCTTTTTCAGGGCATCTAACAAGCTAATCAACCATTTTCCAAAGCAAATAGATGGGTTAATTGATGCTGCTAAAAGAAAACTTGTACTATCCTAAAGTGGTCTGGTTGGTTGATCAACAAGGCTTGAAAAACCCATGAACCAATAAAAGTAAGCTCAACAAGTAGTCTCTTCTTTTTCCACTTGATACGCAATACAATATAATGAGGAGCTCAAAAGTAAGCTTGTTTGGTGATCAATGAATATGAAGTTTTTCTCTGATAGATGAGAATAATGAATTGCCAATTTGGAGGGAGAGAAAGCTAGTAAAAGTCTCATTGAAAAACACACAAATTTTTATAACGTGATACAAAGAGAAAAAAAACAGTTCAACAAAGAACCCAGAATATATGTTTGTAATATTTCAGCAACAAGAATGACCCAGAATTGTCATATGTGAGAAGTGACAAAGCAAGTTGGAAGATTTCAACACTTGCCGTTTAGGCTGCTAATACCTGAATATCGGAACGAAAGTAATTTTCAGAGTAGCTTCCAAATTTTCCGCCGCTAGAGGAAGATCCGAAACTTTCCGCACTGCCTTTTGCCTGGTTCTGTTTGCCTTTTGCGCCACTGAAGGCAGAAGTTGAGCCTGAACTAAAAGTTGAGCCAAGAACAGAAGCACTGTCTTTTCCTCCTAAAACAGTAGAAGCTGCATTTGCGGACGCTTGAGAAAAACCTCCATTAGCCGACAAAGAGAGCACCTCAGAATCCACACTTGCTTTGAAGAATGGTTTGGCACAAGTGAGGCTTTGACAGACACAACTATCGAAAACTTTCCAGTAACATTTGCACATACCGTTATCAACTGAAGCACATGGAAGACATCGTTGCTTATACTGCCACATGCAATTCAAGTTCTCAGATGCTTTAGCTTCTCCTGAAGCTGCAGCTTCACCATTTGGAAAAGCGATTGTGTTGGCTTGGCTGCTACTTGATACTCCACTTGGTCCTGAGTTGCTGTTGGAAGTGTCCTGTGCTAATGCATTTCCTTCTGTTGCGGATGCACTTTTTGCACTAGTATTAGGAGTTTCACCTTGAGCTGCAGAAGCAGCTGCTCCATGTCCAAAGGAAGCTGATGAACTAGTTGATTGAGATCCCTGAAAGTTGATACCATCTATTGTGGAATCGAAGCTATTTGATCCAGCTGCACCGAAAGCAGCTCCATTTTTAGTAGAAGTTGCTTTCGAACCTGCTGCTGTGCTACTTTTTTCATTGGCTCCAGCTGTTATTCCCTTTGCAGTAGCAGTACCTTCAGAAGATGAGATAGAAAGACTTGAGCTACCTTGTGAAGAGGTAGAACTGGAGTCAATAGACAGAGCTGAACCGAGTCCCTTTGAGTTTGCTTGAGAGTCGGAACTTGAAGATTGAGCACCACTGGTTGCTTCCGAAGAGCCTGAAGCTTCACCATTACCAGAAGAAAATGAAGAAGAAAAAGTCCCAGTATCCGCGTTTGCAGAGCGAGTGAGAACAGTTGCCACAAGTAGAGTTACCAGCAAATAACATAAATACCTCTTCATATTATCTTAAAAGTTAAGAATAAAAAGATAAAACAAAATTTTGTTGTTTCAGGAGCTTATATAAAGCTTGAGATTTGTCGATTCAGAATATTATTCCATTTCTACATGTGACGATTGGTTTTTCCAAATATAGAAACAGCTATAGAAGAATATTTGAAAAAGGCAGTTCAAGATTCCCATTACAAAACAAATCGCTTTTTGATCAACTTGGATAATGCGATCCACGCTGTTTTTCCATTTGCAACCGAATTGAGATCACTCAGCTGCAATCTTGCAAAATGGGATTGACGTTGTTGGACAAAGTTTTTACCTTGCACACTCCTTTCAACTCCGGACGAGTAGAAATATGCTAGACTTCAGTGCTATCTTATCTCACTAGCTAGCTTTCCAATACCTCCCTTTTTTAAGTGTGTAATCCATATATGTATAATTGAGAGTATAACTTTTGCACCTTTGATAATAGTCCCCCTTTTTTGAAGAGTTTACTGTGTGAGAAATAAAACTGAAATAGTCAAATGTAACGAGCTTAAGGAGGTGAGTTGAATGGTTTTCTGTTTCCAAGTTGATATTTAAGCCCAGATTGCCATAGTAGTATTCTTGAAGAACTTTGTGGGATAAATATCAACTATAGTGAACAGAAGCTTGTACACAAGCAGTAGGAAGAGAATATTATTGTTTGAATATTAATATTTACGCATGTATATTCATGTAAAAAAATGACATTGCCATGTCGTATATTGCCATACTATTGGGAAGAAACAACTATTAGGATAAATAGTCACAATCAGTTGATTCGATATATGCCAAGAAATGACACACTTAATAGTGAGAATGGAGTAAGTCCATTATCGAGAGAGTTGCAAATAGGAAGTTGTTCTCTTTTTGTATGGATTTCTTGCTTCAAATATGAACGAACGGAACACTTTTGAATAGAATGCCTTTTAAAGAATAAATTTAAGAGCATAACATAGCGTTTTGCTATATCATAGGACAATCGAAGGGCAATGTGTGAATGGAAGATGATCAATGCAGAGAACCCACTATAATACCAACACATTACATAGAATAGTACTCAAACTTTCTCAAAATGGTTTTCAACATTGAACCTAAAGTAGCCAGAGCTTAGCAACTGAAATTCTGCGTTTAGAAACACGGCAATAAATACTGCTGGTTTATTCTTTTGCGTTTGCCACGTTGAAACACAGTGTCCATAGGAGGATTCAGTCTACTTTTGAATACTTGCGTTTTCTTTGTTTACACAAGAGACGTTGTTATCCTATTATTGAGGTTTTTATTGCCTTAATAGACTTCCTCACTTTGAAGGCACTTTGTGATCTTCTCTTGCTTCAAGTCGATGCCACACAAACAGCTGTGACAAAGACTCCGTCAAGCAGCCACCTTTGCAAGGAGTTGAAACGGCCACCTGAATCACTGATTGTTATTCTTTTATCTCGTCGTATTTTCAAGTGGACCAATTATTCAAGCTTTCAATCAGGAACAGCATCTACCATAACACGGTAGTCATCAAAAAGCTTAGGCGCAATGAGAGAAGCTCAATTGCTGGAATTAAAAACATTTGTCAACAAAGACTATCAACCTGTCAAGTGTCTGTAGATTCTCGGGTAGATTTTTCACTTATAGATTTAATACAAAGTTTTTGTTGATATGACGTCTGAAGTTGTTTTTTGCTTCCAAAGTACTTTGAACAAGGCTAGTTACAAATATTTACCTCAGTCATGTCAAATACCAAGTAGATAATCCTAGTTGTCTCCAGTTTATCTTCTCAGTATATTTGTTCAAGGATGATTGGTTCCAACAATAATTCTTTCAGCTTTTGTATCCATTATCTCGCAATTGAACAAATGATTTACTTGAATTATTGAGTTTTTCAAATCCACAACGAATTGTTTCTAATACTTTGACATTAACCAACAATTTAAACACAAGTATCGGAAACCAGATCACCCTCAACATGTACCATAAAAGCTGGAATGGAGCCACAGCATGTATTCGAATGATTTAAACTATCCTTCCATGTCAATATTTTTTGACAAAGAGAGCATTGAAAGGGAGCCAGTAGACATTCATAGTGTTCGTGCACTTCCATGAGTGGTGCACCGATAACTTGGTTGCAGTAACGACATGGTATACGGCAATCACTTTCAACCAAATGTATGTTCGTAAACTGTCCAAGTTCCATTTCCAAACCACACAAATTGCACCTTCCCTTTTGATGAATGCATTCCATTTGATGACAATTATCGTAAACAGAAAGCAGCCCTTGCCAACCGCATTTTAAGGGACAATCAACAATTAAATGACGAATCATACTATCAATAACCGGAACCTGTCTCCAAGACTCACATGGAGTTTCACAAAGAGGACAGCTTTTATTTTCATCGAGCCTTCTCGTTATGCAAACTTTGCAAAAAATATGCGAACAGTTGTCCGAGCAGCAAGGATAGAGACAAACAAAGGAGCAAATGCCGCAACGATAGGAATGTGTTTCTGACAAGAAACATTCTTCTTGAGCTCGCACATTCGGTAAATCGGTGGGATCCATCAGAAATAATGGCTTTAATAAAGAATCAGACGGTGATGCATTATTCGGTTCATTACTGTCAATTAGACATAATTTGCGTCGATGCTGAAGATAAGATATCAACAAAAAGGCAGCTTTACAGGCAGCGTCGTGATCTTGTTGTGTTGGCAGATCCAATTTTTTGCGTCTTTCCATAATCATTTGCTCTTCTTCCTGCGTGAAAGAAATCGGTGAATCGACTTCATCACTAAGACAATTATTTCGATGCAATAACTCCCTTATCAAGGACGTTTCTCTTGAACCAATGCTATCGTCTTTGATATTAATGTAAAGTTCTTTCATGGTATAATTTTCTTTGAGTCCTTCCACCAGAGCATTGAATCCTTCTGAACCGATAGAATTTCCATATATATGCATTTTTATCAGTGATAAATTTCTTCGCAACATGTCTGACAAGTATCTTGCTCCAGTTGCATCTATATTATTGCCATAAATATACAATACCTTCAGCGTAGAATTTGTTTTTAATGCCTCAGAAAGATGTCCTGCCCCTTCATTGCCAATATCATTACAGCCAATGAGGAATGTCGTCAGTGCTGAGTTGATTTCCAATGCTTCTGACAGATATTTCATTCCTTGAGAGCCGATTTCATTTGCATAAAGTTGTAATGTTTCTAACGAGGAGTTTCTTTGTAAAGCTTCCGATAAGGCTTTAGCTCCATCTGGGCCAATATTATTAATACCGATACACAATGTTGTCAGCTTGGAATGTCTTTCCATTGCTCCAAACAAATGCTTCGCTCCTTCAGGGCCAATCTTATTGGCATAAATATATAACTCTGTCAATGTGGAATTTCTTTCCAGTGCCTTGGACAGAACCATTGCGCCTTCAGAACCAATTGAATTGCGACCAAGACGAAATGTTTTCAAACCTGAGTTCACCTTCAAGGCTTCAGATAAATATTTGGCTCCTTGGGAATCTATGTTGTTACCATAGATACATAATTCGGTCAGGGTAGAGTTGTGCATCAAAGCATTTGAAATATACTTTGTTCCTTCCGAACCTATATTATTGCGACCCATACAGAGCATTTTTAATGTAGAGTTTACTTTCAATGCTTCAGATAAATATCTCGCTCCTTCAGAACCAATATTATTACCATAAATAGATAATTTTGTGAGTGTGGAATTCATTTTCAATACGTCTGCTATATATCTTGCTCCTTCAGAATTGATCTTGTTAATACCTATGCATAGATTATCCAGGGTAGAATTTCTCTTCAACGCCTCTGATAACTTTTTTGCGTCATCAGAATTCATATTGCAGCTATCAATATCTAGAATTTCTAATGTAGAGTTTGCTTGTAAAGCCTTACATGCAAATTCTAGCTTTACTTTGTCAGGATAGAAACAAAGTCTTGTTCCAAAGTCTTTAGAAAAACTCCAATATTCTTTAAAGTCATTATTAGGAGTCTGCTGCAAATGATAGCATAACTCTGACGTAATCAAATGTACCTCTTTCATATTGTTCTGCAAACTCACTTTAACCTTTTCCAATTCTTTGGAGATCATTTTACTTGAAAGGTAGCCCACAAAGACTGAGGACGAACACTTTAGAATGTTGTCAAGTTCTCTTAAAGAAATTGTCATATCATTCACCACCAAACAATGTAGATGTTTGCAGTCATTCAGCTTTTGGTAGAATAAAGAGTCTACTCCTTTTTCCTTCAGTATATGAAGGTTTACATATAAGTATATCGGGTCGAATTCTCGAAACAAGGCGTTTAAAACTTGACAATTTCCTTTATACTGTGCCCATAAAAAGAGTGTTGGAGATAAACACTTTTTGCCAGAATGGCAAACTTGGAGCCAGTGACATGCATTCACGATATCTGATACTGAAGTGACGATGGCAATTTGTTTAAACTTGGTGAACGCTCCATACCACGCCTCCTGTGCCATTTTGCTCTCAAGTTGCGAGACCTGAAAAAGATCTAATCTCATAACCATAGAATTTTCTGCAAAATAGTGCTTCTCAGAACTTTCTATCTGTTCCAGCACCTTTAGAAAGACGTTTTCATTTCTGAATTCAAAGTCCGCTGCAGTGACAGGACTTTGCTTGAGAAGTTCATCGAACATCCTTGTTTTACACGGGACTGTCGCTACAAGTCGAGTAGCTGTCAAAAGTCTATCGTCTATCGTCTTCTCCAAGGCATCCACTTTCGGGTTTCGAGGTGAAAATGCTGGGACTGCTTGGTAGACCAGTGTTTTACGACTATTTTGCTTTGAACCCCACTGAATGGAAACCTCATTCGTTGAACCCTGCTTTGAAAGTTCCACACAAGCCTGTTTATAAGAAATTGGTTTCGATTCTGACTCAGAAATAGTTTCTTCTTGTGTAAGGAACTGTGTACTATGATAACCCCTTGGCCTTGGGGCAACTGAAGACAGAGATTCTTCAATATGACCAGATGGAAAACCGTTGTCTACATTCCTCATAGATGTACCTCTATCCTGTTCCATATCTGCTGTTGAGTCATTCGTTTCGACAGGTCCAAGCGCTTCCTGTTGAATGTTGCTTTTCACACTTGACCCGTTTTTTCGAATACTTTCGTCTTTATTCATTTAAGCGAAGTAGGTTTCGAGGTACCTTTGAATACCTTTATCGTTCCAATGTGTCCAAGTTGGGAATACACTGGGACTATATTCTCAGATTACGCTGTGTCATCAATCGAATGCGACATCATTTCATGGATTACGACCAAATGGTTGGAATTCAGTCCTCTTTTGGTCTGATTTATAAACTTCAGAAGAAGACCATTTTGTTCATAAATCATGGTTTACTTCAACAACTATTGCAGCAAAAGAAGGATTGCAAAACTAGCGCCATATAAAGATCTCCAGCTTAAAAACTAACGAATCATAACTTTCATTCTAGCATATCACAACAGGTGCAAAGTTTCTTTGTTTGAAACCATCTAGTTATTTTTAGCTAAAACAATTCACCGCAAAAACCTTCCAAATAGCTTCTCCATCGAATAGCGTTGATTTAAAAAAGGACTTTTTTTACGAAGAGTCTTTGCCTTTTTTAAAGTCTTTCATAGGACTATTGATACGTTCAAGGGAGTAGAAAGAGGCAGCCACTAAACACTCTACAAGTATTAGATAAAGAACACACAAGTTGTGTATATAACGAGAAATTGAAAGTCTTGGTCTGATGAGATTCGAATTTTCGAACCTTTCAAGTCGGAAACTTGAGCGTCCTCACGTTGGCTTTATCGATTGCAAGATTCTAGTTTTCTATGAGATCTCTTATTGTATCTTTCCAAACTAGAGGATATCATTTGATGAGTTGTCAACGTTATCAACATTTTCAACTGAAAGCATGCATTTCTTGTGTGAAATCTTCATGTTTTCTTTTATATCAAGTTCCTCTTCAAAACTCAGTACCAAAACCATACACAATCTTGTTTCAAACCAGTAAGCACACATGTCGCTATAAAAAAAAAGTATTTGAGTCTTCGAACGTAAAATTCTCTACGAGTCCAACTAATCTACTCTTCAAATTCTTCATCATCCTTTTCGTTGTTCTGAATATAGGACTTTAAATCTCCAGAGCAATGGATATTGAGACTTGGCTTCTTGTCTCTGCAGGACTACATGAAGCATTCAAATTGAGTCTTGATGACCATAATAGTTTTTTAAAAATCTACAACTTGCCAAAGACTGCTTGTATCGAAGAAGGGAGTTGCAACTTTTTCTAATCCAAACACAAGTCCAATTAGTTAGAACAGAACCTTTTTCGTGATCCGTAAAAGATGAAATAGAAACTGCGATAGTTATACAATTTCCAGTCACTACTTTCGACATAAGAAAAGTAAAAGAGAATAATCCTTGATGACCCTGGCTCACAAACTATTCATCATTTTCGAAACAAAGAATCGAACTGCTTTTCCATTGATCTGAACCACTTTCAAAATGAACCGTTTGATAGTATTCTTATGAATGAAGCTCCCAATTGGAAATCTTGTTGTGAGACAACATAGAAAAAAAAAGTTGTTCAAAATTGTCACTATTTTTCTTATAGTTGAACTACGGAACTTGTATGATAGCTTGGAAACAATATCTTGAAAGGGTACCATTGGAATATCATGTGTTGTGATTTTGTAAAAATATAAGAGTCGATTCCTCCTAGTTTGATAACCCTATCGATCTTGATAAGAACCATCGCAAACTTGATATGTCAACGATTTACTTAGTCGACATCTTTTTTTCCAATTGGAAAAGAAATTTCATTAACAAACCAAGAGTCTTATTTCATTCTTGCGGATATCAGATCAGCAATTATCCCTCATTAGACATAAAAGACTCTATATCTCCTTTGAAAGCATTCCTTCAATGCTCAAGATAGAATGAAAGAAAATTTGGTATTTATCAGTTGCAAATACAATGAACGAAACATATTGAAAAATAAAAACTCTCAAATACATTCATCATTCGCTAGCAAGATATGACCTTATAGAAGATCTTATCTTCGACCTCAACGCAGGTTTATCTATACCCAAGTCCCTTAAAATTTCTTCGGTCACCGCTGGAAGCTCGTCCGTATCGATATCTTCGACTTTCGGAAGACAATAAGCAACGTCCTCTTCATAAAGACCACAACGTTCTCTTAGGAAAGTATTCCAATCAAATGACGAAGACAAAGAACTCGATGCTGCAACCTTTTGTTCGCCTCGTGTATCTCCTTCTTCCACTTGCATAGCACTTTGAAGCTCTTCCATTTGCATCCTATTCTCCATGCTTGTTCTCTGTCTTATATTTCGAGATACTCTTAAAGTAACATTTGATTGCTCAGCTTCCAAAGATGAAACATATGCACTGGACATCGACTCAAAGATAGTTTTACACCATACTGAAAAATATTTACAGAACTCTCCTCGGTTTGCTTCCCCAACTTTCCTCAACATTTCGACATTATCTATTCCCAAGAATCGTTCAAAATTCCTTTGGGAAACAACTGTCAATTGCAGACATGATCGACTACTTTCATTCAAAGTTGACCCTGAAGAATGTTCAGTGGCCAAATAACTTGCATCTTCAACAATATTATGTTCTTCAACAGAGAAAAATACAGATTGACCATAACTAGTATATACTACCACAAACTGAAAACAAAGTTGAACAGATGAAAGAGATTCGTCATTCAAAACGGAAATAACTTCTTGGAAAAATTGTTCTGCTTCCTTCTCAATATCTCTCTTCGAAAATTCAGTTTTGTGATAAAATTTAAATGAAAATCCAACAACATAACGTGTTTGTCCATTATGGAATACAACATATGCATCAGCGCCACTAGAATTGCCATCTTTTGGAACAAAAATACCACAACGTTGTAAATATTTTCTATAATGATCAGAAAATGAATCAGAGACATTTCTCAAGATGGGTATATCATTAGATTTTGTTGATTCCATAGAATAAGAAACATTGTCCTGTTCAATAAAAGAACCCTGGAAAATTCCTGGAATAGCAGAATGTACAATAGGCGAGGAGTTAGAATGAAGAAAAGTTAATAAGCGAAAGCGAAAGATCTTCATAAATACAAATTCAAAGAAGACTCCCTTTGCTGTTGAAGTGTCGGAAATATAACTAAACGGAGATAAAGGAAAGAGTTCAGTAGCCTCACGGAAAAATTTATAGTTGCTATGAGCTCTCAATATAAATTCACAACAACCAATCTTGAATTCGGTGCCCAAATCAATCCCGTCAATTCCACAACTTTCACGGTAAAACCCAAAAGTTGCAACCAAGTCCATCAAATAAGTTCTCGTTCCACATATAGTAATTACAAAGTCAATTGGAAAAACTGTTCCGAGTTGATAATTCAAAAGGACAAATTGATATCGAAGAAGGGTTGCGGAATCTAGTATCTCCGGAATAATAAAGGTTCCTGACTCATTTAGTATATCTTCAAAGACACTATCTAATAAAAGTTCCATATTGTCATCGTTGATAGCAGGTTGAGATAAGTTTGCAAGTTTCTCTACTAGGGCTAGTAAAGTATTCTTTACAATTAACGGAATACCTCCTGTCTTCTTTTTCAACAATTCTACGAATTGATATCGTAAATCATTTGAGGGCAATAACCAGTCCTTCAAGGACTTTCCATTATAAGTTTCCAGCTCAATATATTCGTTAATATCATTTAGTTTAAAGGGATTCAACCGCAACATATGGAGGGTGACTTTACTGGAGCGAGCATCAGACAGGCGGGCTGAGATTTCGTCGGTTCGCCCAGCAATATATAGGATAACTTTTCCTGTATTAAGCAACTCATCTACAGTTCGAAAAAATTTGCGATACGGGATATAACTTGGATTGGGCTCGACGAACTGTTTCATGGTAAGTTCACTATAGTATTTGGTGATGTAACTCAGGTGGCTAAGTTCGTCTATCATCAAAAATAAATATTGTTTCTGAAATTGTTCGAGAAGATACTGGAGAAATAAAAAAACACTAGGTTGCTTCATCGCTGCGTCCGTGAATTCTACAGTTTCTCGGGCAGTCATACCGTTGCACTCGGCTGTAGCCAGAGCTATGTTATACCTTAAAGCCTTTCGAAAACTTGCAAAAGGAGCACGAGAAAAATTCTCTCCTAGTTCTAAGACAACTGACAATGTGTGTTCCGCAAAGTGTTTCCAAGGAACCTTCGGAGCACTCAACTGGGGTTTCTCATATGAACTGCGTGGCTGTTGAAAAGTCTGTACACTTGAACACTCATGCTCAGTAAAAATATTCAAATAAGACAAAAAATTTCGGCCTAGAAAAGTTTTCCCTGCTCCAAATATTTGCGGGGCAAAACAACAAGCCGGTCGATTGAACAAAGGACCACCGTACATCTTCTTCGAGAACTGGGAACGAAAAGTTTCAATGATAGCCCTTACGTCTTCCTCTCTGTCAACTTGTGGTTCTTTTAAATAGTAAATTGATTCCATAGAGAAAGTTTCAACGACAAATACTCCATAAAAAATAGGAATGCAAAAGTGATGAAGAAAATTGGATGAAAAGCTTCAAACATTTTGGAGAAACGACGATACTTGGCAGTGTTTTTACTAGACAGTAAACTAAGAGCATCTTTAATTATACTTGAGAAAAACATAGCCAAAGAATCAAAACTTCCAATGTAATTATGTCGAGCAACCTCAAGTTAATCTTTATAGCGAGGTCCCTTCAACCAACTTTCAATACAATTACATATCTTATCATCACATAATGCACTAGAAACTGAAAAAATTCTAAATTATCTACATACTTTGTTTGTGAATGGAATTGTCACAACAACTTTCTCTAGTCATTTGAACCGAAGATTGTTCTAATCATATTTTCACCAAGAGCAACTTAAGTCGTAGAGTAACCAACAGAATTTTCTGTTTTCCTCGCACTGAGTTGGTCTTTAAGCAGTTGATATTGACTTTTTACAGCATCTGAACAGGTTTACATTATGATTTCAGAAGTTTCAAGAAATGAGAAAGATCGACAGGAGAGTGCAAAGGAAAACAAGGAATAATAGTACGGTTTTCAAATCAATCCAAGAACGGAATGTACAAAAACCAAAGCTTGCCCATACATATATCATAGAAGATCATACGAAAATGCAACTAAAGGCAAAACATAAGTATCTGGTCCTACATTCCATCATAATAACTTGAAGGTCCATAGCGGCATTTCTGAAAATATAATAAGCTAAATTATCTATGCGGCTTTAATTTTCTTAAAAGAACAAAGGAAATACTAAACTACTTTGATAAAAATTTTCGAATTCCTAATATGATTCGGCAATCTTAGTGAAGGATTGTCAATATCGAAATAGAAGGAAGAATCTGTTGTAACACCATGCAAATCTATTGTTTGAACAAACGATATTTTGAGCAGACAATATACAAAAGTTCTTCTTAATAGACACTTGGAAGAAGACTCTTGCGAAATATAACCTGATGGGTATATGGTGGAAGGTTCCTTTGGATACTTGTCACAAGAATCAAAGACAACTCAGTATTTTGTATAAACAATACAAGAAGTGTTCATTCTACTAGGAACAAGTCATACTTGAAAAATAAGAGAAACGCTTTTATCCAAGTTGTTCTATAAGAAATAAAATTGTCGCCAACTTTGCAATATTTTCAGCAGAATAAAATAAAATAGTTTGTTTAATTCTTTTGCCGAGTCAATCAATCTCATCTCAAATGGTATTGTGGTTGTTACTATCCAAATCGGTAAAGGTCTTATTCTTTTAAATATGTTGATCAATTTTGTCTACTTTTGTAAAAAGAATATATATTTAGAAATAATGGAAAAGCAAGAATCTTTCACTTCTATTTGCAAAGAAAAAAGTAAGATCAATCTTGAAATATAAGTGCAAGGAGAAGCAAAAGCATCACCACTTTTACTCTTACAGTCAAAAATTTCAATAAGTTCTTGTTTGAGGCTCAATCCTCCTTATCGTAAGGAGTTTGTGTATCTACAAAAGTGTTCGACAAGAGATTTCCATCGATGATAAGAAAAATGAAAATTTTATCATCTCTTTTTTTTATTGGCAAGATTTGAAGACTTTGGAAAGTTGAAGGGTTTATACATGTTGAATAATTGTTGTTCAACAGGAAGAAGAGGAAGATTCCATGGTTTAGAAGAGAAGCTAACTCAACTTTGTTTGCAACTTCCTCTCTTGGAGTATTGTTTCGTGATAACTGAAACTGGCATCATTCTGTACGTTGTCTTTTTTTTGGTAAAGACCCTCTTAACCTTTGCTGTTGTGTTAGGACTCCAAACAAACGTGTAAAACCCGTCATAGATGTGGAACCTGAGATAGTATTTCAGGTAAAACAACTGGCGACACAACTAAGTAAGAGTTGTTGTTTGCGTGTGTTTATGAAAGATAACAAAACTGATCAGCTTCACTTGTATTTCGTAAATCGTGCAAAACAATAATACTAGCAACTAGTCAATTAGACGTAGTCATATACGATGTCGGTGACCAAGTAAGTTGTTTCTGCAATTTGGAACCAACCCTGAGACAATATATCAAGTTCCTCGTTGCATTTTCAAAAAAGAGCAAAGAGAACAGAGAAGGAAACGGTCTGACCCAAGAAAAACTAGAAGAACTTGGAAGACTCATACGGGAAACACTTTGGTCTGACTAAACCATGAAAAAATATTTATTCGAGAGAAGCACTAGTCATGTTTAAAAAGTTTTCTAAAGAATCCTCCCAAACCACCACGATGTTGGTTTCTGTCGTGCTCCATCCAACTACTCCTATCTGATAACTGCGGGAGAGAAGCATTATTTCCTTCGCTTCCTCTCCAGTCCAAACCTTCACGAGCAAGTGTTCTCCACTGTTGCTCAAATTGAGCTCTTTCTTCAGGAGTTAGGTTGTAGTAGTTTTCCTTTGTAACTTCTTGTCCTGAACCATCCCTTCTCCTGATAACTTCTCTGCCTCTTCCATCTATTTCTCGTTTCCATGCATATTCTTCATTTCCTGCAGCACTATCTTTCAAATGTCTTCGTACCTCTGTTCGGTTTCCTTCCCTTGTCGTTGTGGTACTTTCTTCATAAACCTCTCCTTCTGGGCCAAAGTGCTTCTTTGAAGAAAAACTATATACATGAGCGTTACCTCTTCCTGCTCCTCTAGCAAAGTCTTCTTCTAGCCTTCTCAAGGATTGTTCAATGTTGCCGAACATTCCCCCAAAACTTCCTCTATCCAGTCCAGCAAAAGGAGTTTCAAACAGTCGGTCAAAGTGGTCAAAAGGAGATTGGTTCCAAGGTTGCATACTATGTCCTCCTCTAAAAGGGTTTCTTTCGTCGTATTCGTCTTCCACACCTCTGTCATTGGGCATTCCATAGTCTTCTGGTTCTTCTACTATGACACGTCTTCCATTGGGACGTCTCTCAATATTTTCAGGAAAAACTACACCAGTATCATCATAAACTTCTCCGTCATAATACGGATAACGATCTCTGTACATTTGCAGCACCACAGTTCACCAAAGACTTATTTACAAAATGTGCCTTAAAGAGAGTAATGGAATTCCAAAGAAGGGTATCGAATGTTCTACGGAACAAAAGATGCTTTTATTGAATGAATTAGAGTCAGGTCAAAAGACTCACTGCTCGAACGGAAAAGAGAAGCGAGTCGCCTTCAAATATAAACTTCACAGGTAGTCCAACTTTCATAAGAGTGCGACCTGAAAGTTTCAAGGTAACTCCTCCCAAGTTTGTACTCCACTGGAATACCTGGAATATACTTTAGAGAAATGACAAGCAAACACTTTTACTTACTCCTCTAGGATCTGTTTCTATGGCACCTGTCGATACATTAGTTCTCAGTTTTCCTGGACAAAGTTCCTGTCAAACAGCTTTCAGTTGGCACCAACGCTATTATTATCCAATATTTACCTCTACCAAATATTCCCAATCTTCCCGAATTCCACGAAGGTGCATTCTCGGTAACTGCAAACCAATTGGACGATTGAGATTGACGGCAATAACTAAAGCCTCGGTCTTTTCATCATTCACAAACATCCAACCACCCGAGTCACTTGTAAATGGATTCCATAGCCGATACATGGTTCCAAATAGAACAAGGGGTGCAAACTCATTTCGAAGTTCAATATAACTCCTTATTTCTTCCACTTCATCTCTTGAAAGTTGGCGGACATCCATTTCATATCCAAAAGTTCCACACATCGCAACTAGGCTTCTGGTCTTCATAGTAGTGCTTCTTAAGGTTTGGTGATTGGGTATTGAACTCACATGAGAACCCATCGAACACACAGGATACACCAAACTGGTTCCATATTGGATTTGGACACGAGATAATGCATCTGTATTATCGCTACACCAGATTTGAGCTGAATAATAAAGCATTCCTGGGTCAAAACGACCACCACCTCCCGAACAAGATTCTATCAAGACTTGTGGAAAGGCACCCGTAATCCTTGCAAAAGCTTCATAAACACCTAAGATATGACGATGAGCGATTTCTCCTTGTCGTTCCGGAGGAAAGGCTTGTGAGAACACTTCTGTCAAATGGCGATTCATATCCCATTTCACATATCTTCCCTATCGTCAGTTCAATTCCATTCAAAAAGCTATTGCCACTTACTCAATATTGCAACTACTCAGAATACTAGAAACTTCCTCAATAACATGATTTCTTACAGCTTCTTGGGAGAAATCCAAAACCAATTGATTCCTTCCAGTAGTTCTTGCTCTTCTTGGGATATGAAGACACCAATCTGGATGTTGGTGATACAACTCACTTTCAATATTCACCATCTCTGGTTCGATCCAAATCCCAAAACGCAAACCCAATTCGTTAATTTCACGACATAAGCCTTCTAAACCAAATGGGAATTTCGTTCTATTCGCTTTCCAATCACCTAAGCCTGAGCGAGTATTATTTCTATTTCCAAACCAGCCATCATCCAAAACCACCAACTCAATTCCACATTCCTTTGCTCTTTTTGCCAATTCAACGACAGCTTCATGAGTCACATTGAAATACATTGCTTCCCAAGTATTGATAAGAACTGGACAAATGGTATGTCGCCACATGGGAGGAATCAAATGATAACGATAGAGTCGATGAAATTGTTGACTTATGCCACCCAAGCCTTGGTCACTATAACATAACACCACTTCTGGAGTAGAAAATTCTTCTGCTGGTCCTAAATCCCACGAGAATTGCTAATTTTGTTCAGTATTCTTTCCTATCTGATCAATTGTTGCCTACTTGTGGATTGATACCCATATTGACACGTAGACGACCACTTTCTACCAATTCGGATTCCAAACGAAAGTTTCCGGAATACACGAGACTAAATGCAAACGCTTCACCTTGATCTTCTCTTGGTGTGCCTAAAGTAATCACTCCAAAAGGATTATGCTATTGAATATTATCACTTGAGCATCCAGTTTGGTAACCAAGCAATCCTTTCTCAATCTCACCTGATGTGAAGATGCACCTCTAGTAGATTCCACTAAAGACATTCCTTGATACAGTTTCTTAGTCACCAATTGTCTTTCTCTAGCCCAAGAACCAGATAGCTGAGTTAGATAGAAATCGTCGGTATCGAAGTCTTGTGTGCAAGAAAAACAACGACGAATGATCAAACTTTCATCTAAGTGATTTCGGAACACTGTTCTTCTCACAATCGCATCATATTCATGGAAAACAGTGTAATACAACTATGTACAAATGACAACCTTATATACAATCCAAAATGATCGAGTTGCTTACAATGACTGCCACTTTTGTTAGAGGATCGATCATAGTCAATTCCAAAGTAGTTGCATCGGAATCAACATTAACATAAAGTCCAGGAAGTGGATATGGTGGCAAAAGCTAAAGACATTCAAAACGCTCATTCTTATCACTATTGTGTAATTTCATATTACCTTTCCACCAAATATGCGATGACTTGAGTATACCAAAGGAGATAACGTTGTTCCATCAGAATATTCTATTTCAAACGAACAGGAACGGTAATCTCCAGTACCTCGATCTGAATATTCCAACAGTTTGGTATTCTTTCCGACAATTTCGGGATCTAGGCAAACTTTAAAAACTTGTCCACAGTGAACTATAACTGTATACCTAAATTGATCCAGACATTCTGTTGTTGTTGTCTCGGAGTAGGAGAAGAAAATGATCCAAAGCGGCTACAAGATAAAAACTCGTCTTCTAAACTATCTATACTTGGCAAGTTCTTTTCAAAACCTTCTCCTCTACGAAGGGATGGAGACCTCTTCCAAGTAGGTAAAGTCTTGTGAGACAAAAATCGGCGCTTGACACTAGTATCACTACTTTCTTCTTCTAAAAAACAAATCATTCTCTTCACTCTACCACAACTGTCTTTCTATATAATGACAATCCAACCTTTCTCTGAACTAGAATGTCCAGTATCTACACTATCCGTTCTAAAATAGGAAGGAGAAGAAACTTCACTACGATCTCCTCCACTCCAGGGTTCATCATCGTAAACAACTTCCAATGAACTCAAACCCTATCATAGTACAATCCTAAGCTTACACTATATATAGAAAAGAGAAAGACCATACATACCTTTCGATGCGAATCATCAAAAACAGCCTTTGTTGATGGATAGTTCTCTTCCAAAGTAACACTTCCATGTTTATCAACTCCACTCAGTGTACTTCCTGTTCTTTTCAATTTGTCCATATTCCATAATCTCCAACTATAATACACAATAGCTATTCTCAAAATATACATAAACATACAGACTTTTTCTCACCTCGCATTCTCCAATCTACGTGGTTCTGTAGCACGTGGAGTTTGGGCTTCCACTGTATAAGTTTTCCACTTTTCAGCCACTTCATCAGGATCCAATTGTTTGAGGTCAGCAAAACCAAGAGGATTCAAACTCTCCCAAGAATCTCCTAATATTCTTCGTTATTATTTGAAAAGAAGATTCTTAGGTCCAAAAGGTCTCCTACCAATATAGCCTTTGGGATCGAAAGGTGTAGGGTTATTACCAAACCCTAGAAACAACAAGTCATCTTCCAAAGGAATAGAAGAACCCTAAAAAGAAGAAGATGGATGAAAAGTGAACTCTTATCGTTCATTTCCTACCCAATACAGATGTTCCAAGTTTCTGCTGTCATCGACACGAAAGGCATATACAGAGTTTTTACAACGTAGTCGAAAGGTTCTCGTCAGTGAGTCGTAATAAATACCAGGTGTGCTTTCTATGACTGCTTCTTGACAGCGTATACTCGATGACTTGTAAGTGTACATCAACACAACTTGGAATATTCCCAACAATCACTCTTTAGAAAATTCATAGCGTATGAATCGTTTTTATAACTAAACTAATTGGAAGACAAACATTACATACATATATACAAACATATGTCAACGAAACGTATCACAGCAACTCTCATACACCATTAAACAAAATAGAGTCCGTATTCAAGTCTTTTTCCCCCAAACTTAATAAGGCAGCAGAAATATCACTGTCCTCATCAATCAATCGATGAAGCAACTCTATCAAGTTCACAGCTGAAGGCCTCTTTCCTGGTTCAAAAGACAGACAGCGATTGACTAATGAAATATATTTACAACTGGTTCGCAACTCACATTTGTGAATATCAGGTTTCACTCCATGTTCAGCTTTGCCAATAAACAACTCATATCTATTCTTTCCTTTGAAAGGTAACTCTCGAGCACCCATTTCCCAAAGAACCATCCCTAAACTATATATATCGGAAGCTTGTGAAGGCCGTTCATTTCTCAATACTTCAGGTGCCGTATATTGTATCGTTCCTAATGCTCCATCTTGATGAATATTCGAAAGAACTGCACTCATTCCAAAATCAGCAATCTTCAAGTTCCAACTGGAATCTACCAAAAGATTCGCACTTTTCAAGTCCCTGTGTAGAATAGGTGGACTTCTAGAGTGTAAGTAAGCTAATCCTTGAGCTGCATCCACCGAAAATTTCATAATAAAAGTGTAGTTGAGGTCGAATTGCTTATCATAAATAAGACGCTGTAAACTGCCTTTTTCACAATATTCAGATAGTAGAGATATACTTTGGTCGCTATGGAATATAACTCCCATAAATAAAACAATGTTTGGATGTCTCAACAAAGAGTTGATTCGGACTTCATGTTCCAAAGTCTTACGAGAATCTAAATCCAAATGAGGACACAATACTTGTTTAACTGCTACAAGAGTTCCTTGCCAAAGACCCAAATAAACCACTCCAACTGCTCCAATCCCAATTTGCTCTCCAAACTGCACTTCGTTCTCTTTCACTAACCATGACGTTTCAAGTCCTCTTGCCACTTGTGTTTCTTTCATTTCTTGAGCAGTGCGATAAGCTTTTCTTCTCACTACAACATAGTCCATCGTCAAACAGACAATTATTAGCTTGTAACTATGACTTACAGTTTTCGGCTGTGCCTAGGCGTATCACAACCACAAAACGCAAAGTAGAAAATATAACATGAAAAAGTTGAACCAACTGAACGTCCCATTCAACATTCACATCTAACGAAGATCGTGTTACAGGGGCAAAAAGAACCTGAATATTCCGTTACTTCAACAAGGATACAACTCAACAATCTCCAACATACCAACTCAATGATACAAGTGATACCCAGAAAACTAACAATTGTAAAGTCTACAATATTCAATCTTTGTTTAAAAAATTGCACTCTGCCCCAGGTATATATTCGTAACAACGTTTCAATACTAAATATTGTCCACACCAATAAGTTGGCTCCAGTCTGCAGCCACGTGGTAACTATATAAGCATATCTGCTGCTTGCGTCTAGTGTCCTTTCAAACCGTTAAGAATTAATCAACCTCACAAAGCAGTTTTTCTTACCAAGCTGTCCGGAACATGACAATATATTTTGACAGAAAAATAAGCAAGTTGATAATAATGAGAATGGAATCTATTAAATACACCGCTGGGGAGTCTGCAAGCAAACGCATTCTACTTCTTGAAAACCAAGGCTCACTTGCAATGCGTTGAGACTCGAACCCAACAAAAAAATACGCTCAGACTTACCTCGTATGAGGCTCCGTTTCCGGTCGCAGTCTCAACACTCGTTCGACTTTTGCCTTTCGCGACCATTTCGCTTCCCACACAGGAAAACATGTTTTCGACGAGTTTTCCACGTCATAGTTCTCTTCGTCTTGTCGAAAAGAGTCGCTTTCCTCTTCACGTGCCAAGGAGCCTTCTTCCACCACAACATCTACCTCACCGTCAGGATCCTCCCATGTAACTCTTCTATCGTTAAATAAGTCGCTCATGAGCGGGCTTTTCTTCAAGAAAGAGAGAATATGAAGGAAACCAACGGGTTCAAGCACATAAATATCACCAACTAGCTTCCGAACGTGAAGCACCTGAAAGACTATATAGGAGGCGAGAGTAAAACTCTTGGAGAAAAAGAGTGACAAGTGAGTAAAGCAAAAAACTTTGCAAACTAAAGCACGTTAAAAGTATTGCGTCAAAGGGGTTCAGACGAGACGAATCAATACAACCGTTGTTGGCACACAATAGATTCCGACTAAATGAACGAGGAAAAGGAATGGACACAAATATGTCACTTGGACAAAACCGCTTGGGTCGATTCTGCTGGAAGCAGTCGGGGAGGAAAAGACAGTTGTCCCACATGAATAGAAGTAGTTTGAGACGCAAAATTCTCAATTGAACTGAACAAAATAGATATTCTTGTATATATACTTTATTTATGACTCGTTTTTTTCAACAGATAAGAAATCCTATCAGCCAATATTCCCGCACGACTCTCAAGCACTCGAGAATAGACTTCAAGACCTGCCTTGCCAATCTCTGTATTGTGAAATATTTTTGATTGCTCAAGTTCTGTTTGAAGCATATATGGGAAACGCTGTTTCAAAACTCGAATAGCAGCATCTGCCCTTCTTAAAAGAACAGAATATTTTTGAATACGATCCCTTCTCAGAGTCCATTTGGCTTTCATTCCTTCATCCATCTTCAATTTCCATATGCAAACAGCTTTCTCCAACTTTGTTACTGTTTGTTGCGCGTTGGATTCATTCCATTTCTTTTTTTCTTTCATAAACTTTTCTATATTGAAGTAGGGATTGCTCATATTCACTTCGAGTTCTTCACCTAGTACTTCCTTGGCTTTCTTTGGCAAGCTAGAAACAAAAGAGTCGGCATATTCATCTTTGCTATAATTGCTTCGTTAATTTGACGACATTCTAGCCAAATATTTCTACTTTTTCCTTCTAAATCGGTCAGAAACCATACAATTTCAGGAGAGAGACCCGAGCTGGGAAGTAGAGGTTCGCAGACCCACCATTGTTCTGTTTTTTGAGAAGGTTTTGAACAACTTTCATATGTTATAATTCCTCTAAGACATTCTAGAGAAGAGAAAAAGTCTTGTAAAAGTTTATCCAGCTCTTGAAGTCGAGGTAGATAGTTAGCAATATCGGGTCGTTTCGCCTTCACCATGATTTGAATTGTAGTCCCGTCCTCAAGGACCTTCTGTGCAGGTTGTTGGACGACAATGTTTTCCAACGTATCGTATAATACATGCAACTCCCTGTTCCACATGTCTAATGCCTTAGGATCTAGAGGTTCAAGTTTTTTGAATTCTCCAAACGTGCCAGCATGTAGATTCTCAATTCGTTTGGAGAGAATGAGAGCCCTGGACTTTTCAGGATTTCCGGAACTATCAACAGCTAATGTCATCTCTGCGTATCTTGCTTTCCACATTTCAATCTCTTGTTTCATCTGGTCCAATTCATTGGGGGTGAGTAAACGAGTCTTGTTGAAAGAATTGTTGCCAGCTTCACCAGACGCAGGAGAATTCGAATGTGACCCTTGTTTAGTGTAATTCGAATAATGCCATTGTGGATTGAGGTGGTCTCGTTGGCCAGCAACTCCATCGGGTCCATTCCACCATAGAATGGCGCTAGAATCGTGTTCATTTAATATGGAAAGTGAGGTGAAATCGCCACAAATGCTGGCCTCGTAAAGAGATTCTCGAAGAGCTTCACATCTCGATAAAAAATCATTGACCTGTTTCATACAAAGATTTGCTTCTGAAGAGTCCAGAAAAGGAATAGCCTATGATAATAAGAAGATGCCCCCAATGAAACTAATAAAATTGTTACCTGCATGAATAACTCAATAACCTGAATGTAAAGGTTGTACGCTTGTTCATAGTCACCGCTTTCGTCGTTAGTTGCGGCTTCATGTGCCACTATTAAAGCCTTTTGGAAAATTTGAGTTACGTACGGCACATCGTTGTTTCTTTGTGTGGCGTTCTGTTCGCGACATTCTCCACTAGAGGTTTGTGGAGATGTCCTATTAGAGCACGAAGAGCTATTGTTTGACGTTACTCTTGAGTCTGATATCGTAGTTGCTTTTTCAGGGCTTTGGTTTAAACTATATGTTCCATTTGGACTGTTAGATTGGTTATTTGTTTCATATCTTGTCTCCTTTTCTTTCTTCTTCGATAAATCTTGAATGTTGTAACTCTTCGTACGGTTTCCGTATGGACTCGAATCTTTTGCTACCTTTGTACAGCTAGAAGAGGATGAGCTCTCTTGAACAACTTTGGTTGCAAAAACTTCAGGACTATTCTTCTGGTTGTCAGGAGAACCTGAGTGTTCTCCCTGTCCCTTCAACTCTGTCTTGACTCCCTTTTCATAAGAAGGACTTCGCTTTTTTTGGTTGAGTCTATCTATAGGAGCATAAGAACCTGGCGCTCCTGTAGGTTGTAAACTAGACAATACTCCCATATTCCTTAACGGTTCGTTCCTAAATGGTTGAATGAATGGCTTTCGAGGTGCAGCACGCGCAGCTTTATGTAGTTCTCTCTTCTCAGACTTTGGTATTGAATTCATTGTACAGTTTTCCTTACATTCCGTTTTCACATGGATTATACTCTCAGCACCTCTATCTTCCCTTGTTTTGACAGGTTCCATCGGTTAACATGAACACACGATGAAAGCTGTAGGTCCACGGAATCCTGTTGTGGTCACCCAATTCAAATTTTAAAAATTCTCACAGGGCGCCAAAATTTAAGATTGCCTTTTCCAAACATTTTCCTTTTGTCTATCTATTTTCGTATAAGCAGACTTCTATTGATATAAAGTTATGGGTACTCATGTAGAAGCAACACCTTCTACTCCATTACCTAGTTCTAGCTCCTCCAACGCATTTTTAGAGACAGTCAGTTTGTTAGATGAGCTAATTGCTGTCTTTGATAATCAAGAAGAAGCAAAAACGTTGAACCAAGGTTGCGAGAAACTTGAAGAGTTGGGACAAGTGCAACAGAGAAAGGTCCATGACTGGAAAGGAAAACTAAAAGGTTGTAAACTTTGCTTAGTGTTGTATCCTTCCACTGACCACTGGTTTTCTTGTAGCTCTTCAAACTCGTGTTGACGAAGCATTACAAAAGACGAAAGGGTTTGAAAGTGAAGAAGAATATCAAAAGAAGTTGGAAATGCTCGAAAAAGAGAAGCAAAGTATCATCAGTGAAATAATGAAAGCTGAAGAAGACTGTTCCCTTGTAGAGTCCCAATTAGATTCCGTCAAAAACGAAGAACAACGTTATTTGCAACTTTATACAAACATGTGTGATGAAATGAACAAAGAAATTCCCAGGATGCAATATTTATTGAGTCTGTATGCGGATATTTCTCGATTGCGTACCAAAAGCTTCTTTTCTTCGTGGGACCAACTTGAGGATGTATTTAGTGGATATATTCTGTCAAAAAAAGGTGATGACATTCAACCATTCGAATTTCCTATCAAAGCCAACACCAGTTTTACTATTGTGAATCAACTTTGGGAAATGTTCGAACGTACCATCACGTAAATACGAATAGGCAACTATTTCGTTTTATGTTTCTAACGGAACATGATTATCGACTCTTGTGAAATGCTGAAGAATTATTATTTGTTTAAAATGACATAAAGGTTTTGTTTACAATTTTGAAACAAATTGATTCCCTTTTTCAGCCAACAGAAGAAAATAGAGATACAGCATTGTCTCTAATAGCTACAGAAAAGTTGCCTGTCATGTATTCCTCTGATATATCTTTTTTAGAGAACGGCTGTTGTTGATAACCTATTATTTTCTATTGTTGTGAAAGGTCCCGTAAAAGGTTGTTTTCTTTGCTGCAATACAGTAATATGATTACACATAGACTGTCCCAGGAACATGATCAACCTCATGGCCATGCAGTTAACGAAGAGTATGAAATAAGGTAAAATTGAGTTTCTTATGAAGCATGAAGAATTTGTAGAACCCAACCGGTTCAAAGTCTCTTGCTATAATGACTCTGTATAAATTGATTGTGTTTCTTAATTGTTCCTTTTGACTTTGTTGTCACTAGTATCAATTTTCATTCTAAGATACACATCTCATCCAAAGTGACAACTAGACGACTTGAAATAAACACCATCATAACCAGAATATAACAGCCATTTTCAAGTATTGGAAGTTTCAACAATTGCAACCTTGAAGAAAATTTTACATTCATCAAAAGTTGAAAGAGCTTATAGGCAATCGGACACTCTCCATGGATGAAAAGAGATTCTGACGAAGAAGAAGAGATGTTGACCTGCCTTGGTTTTGTTTCGCAACATGTTTCTGCTGTCGGTTGTTATCACCGCTGGCGGAAACACAACATATCATTTTGTCGTTCTTCAAGTAGTTTACGATATAGTGTTTTTATAGACAACTCGAAAAAGCTTGGTAAACTTCGTTCCTTGGGTCGTTATTCAGACACAAGTCCATTGGTTTTGAAAATGTCGAACAGTGACAGTGGAGAAGACATTTTGCAGTCTATTCTCAAACGCAAAGCAGTGGAAGTTGAACAACTGAAGGAGAAACTGGCAAATGAGTCAAGTGACAATCCTATAACGAGTCGCTTAGCCATGGAAGGGTCTTTTGAACCTAAAGATACCTTTTATTGTGCTCTTAAGAAGCCCAATTTTACTCTTTCAGTTATTGCAGAGATAAAGCGCAAATCTCCAAGTAAAGGACATATTGGAAGTATTCGTGATCCTGCAGGGCTCTCAAGAATATACAAAGAAGGGGGTGCCAGTGCCATCTCAGTGCTGACAGATTTGGAAGGTTTTGGAGGGACTTTAGATGATTTGCGGAAAGTATATAAGGCTCAACAACAATATCGAGAAACCTATCCAGGACCAGCTCCTATTCTTCGTAAAGACTTTATAATTGATAAGGTTCAAATTGCCGAAGCAGCGGAAGCTGGAGCGTCGGCAATCTTGCTTATTGTTTCTGCTTTGGGCAAACGAACAAAGGAGTTGTTGCAGGCAACTTACGCTTTAGGCCTTGAAGCATTAGTGGAAGTCCACAACGAAGACGAAGTTGATATAGCTCTTCAGTCTGGCGCCAAGATCATAGGTATCAATAACAGGAATTTGAAGAATTTTGAAGTATCTTTGGAACATGCCATAAAGCTACGTCAACTATTACCACCTGAGATAGTTTCAGTGGCAGAAAGCGGTATATCTGATCCTGCCGTTGCCTGGCTATTAAGAGATGAAGGATTCAATGCTATACTGGTGGGAGAAGCTCTGGTAACTGCAGCAGAAAGGAGTGAAGCAGTCGGTACATACTACCAAAAGCCTGTAAATCAAGCTTATGGTTTGATAAGAGCTTTCTTATCAAAGAGTTCTCGCAAGTATGCCAATTCAGCTACTGCAGCGTTGTGGGGACAGGGAGAAGGTGCAAAGGAGTTTCTGGGTAGCATTTCCATCTAAAGTTTATTCGAATCATAAAGGATTCACATAAATAATTTTCAAAAATTACACAATAGCTATGTTCTTCAAGTAACATTTGTGCAACTCTGTTTTTAAATGCTTGTTTAATTCGTTCCAATCCACAATCCTTTGCCATGTTGCGTGTGCCGAGTCAAGTGAGACCTAAAGTTGCAGTATCTTGCAGAGAGAACCTTCCAGAGGATTTGATAGAAAGACTGTTCTTTTGTAAACAGTTGGATGTTGTTCGAGTCCTTCCTACTCAGTCCTCAACTTTTACTTCGACAGATATTCCCGTGTTATTTTATGTATGTAAGTTGCCTTTAGAAAGTATCATACAACTTGAGACATTGAAAGCATTTGGATTTCCTGGAAAAGGTAACTATTTTATCTAACTTGTGACTGATATGGATAGTAAACGGTGTAGAACGAAAGAGTAGTCTTAAAGGCATTATGTTATTACACAGTGCTGTAGATCGTACCAACAATATGTGTGTGACACCAGATGGATTCTTACATTTAGTACTAGATAAAGAAAGCTACGAACAATTTGGGTTGGTTGGCTCCAAACTTAACCTAAAAGGAAAGTCTGAATATTTTCATATCCAAGTACGTTTGTTCCTTCTTGTCTTTTGAATACTGATTGTTTGCTTCAGATTGATCTTCATCGTCTTGCAACTGGCAAGCAAAATACTCTAAGAAGTCGTTTAGAGTGGTAAGAGTGGGCATATTCTATTAGTGTCGTTTGTGTTATATAGGAGTTAGGTGTTTGAAGAAAACAGCCCAACCTGTCGATATGGCCATCAGTTGTTCTATTCCTTTGGATCAAGTTCCTTTACAAGGCTGTCAAAAGCTATCCGTTGAACCTACCACTTTATTTCTTGAAGGGCAACGTGTTCCTTTGATTCATAATTGGTTTGTTCGTTGGTCCAGTTATATTCAAAATGGACAAGCAACAACCGAAGAAGATATACATTCAGAGATGGAATTTTTGGTTCAGTGGATGGGAGCCATCGTTGCTCAATGTCCTGCTCTGATGGATATGCAAAGTGAATTATCATGTGACTATATTTGTCCTCACTTGGAAGAAATGTATTCAAAGGAATATTTTCGAGATGATTCTTTATGGACAGAAGAGAATATACAGCATCAACAATGGCAAGGTTTCATTGGATGTCATGTGACGAAAGCTTTTTGTGAGTCCATACAAAGTGAGGTATTCAGTAGTTGTTTACTTTTCCAAGTCGTATATCTTATCTGAATGACAAAAGGTTCAACAAAATAGAGTGAAATGGGCCATAGTATCCTGTTTATCTTTTGAAGATGTGCCCATTATGTATAAAGGGAGCAAGATAAGAGCAGCTTCACCTGCAATGGAACATTCGATGGGTTTAATCATGGTTATATTGCCTAATGGAAAATATTGGCTTGTCTTTCAACCAAATACTCAATCAGCAAGTTTATGTTGATTCTCTCGTCGCCAACTAAAGACAATTGATATATATATATTCTCGGAAAGAGTTGTCGACAATGAGATGATGAACTAGGTGAACATATTCATTCATTCTATTTACCATTGTGACTCACAAAGAGTTGACTATTGTTTGGTGATATAAAAAGGAGAGTGTAAATGGATTGTCTGTTGTTTGAAGAAAAGAGAGAGAGAGAGAGAGATATTAACTTTGTGGGAGGAAGAATGGTGTTGGTTGCTTGTTTTACAGGAACAGCATTTCGACACTTACCTTGGTTGGTTCCTCATAACCGAAAAGATATTTTTGATAGCAAGAAGAAACGAACTGTTTCCATCTGCAGTGCTCGTCTGCAAGACAATTTTACAGAAAGACTTGGCTTTATAGGTTGTGGTCACATGGCAGGTGCTATCATAAGAGGCTTTATTGCGGCTGGAATACCTGGTGATCTTATCCACGCCACTACTAGAACACAGTTGAGTGCAGACAACGCTAAGCAACTGGGTGTTGGTCATATTTCAAGTGATAATCGACACTTGGTGGAAAGTTGTGACATGATCTTCCTGGCAGTAAAACCTCAGAGCCTTGATCCTGTTTTAAGACAACTTAGAGAGAGTGTAAACAGTGAAGTGTTATATCAGAAGTTGTTTGTTAGTATCGCAGCTGGAAAGACTTGTGAACAAATCGCTTCTCAACTCGGAGAAAGTAATAGAGTCCGCGTGCTGAGAGTGATGCCCAACCTTCCTGTTGCAGTTGGACACGTTGCCGGTGCGTATTGTGCAGATAGACATGTTGATCCAAAGGATATAGATAGAGTAGTGAAATTGTTTTCGTTGGTTGGCCAACTGGAACAAGTAGACGAAAACTGTATGGAGGCTGTCACTGCTTTATGTGGAAGTGGTCCAGCTTTCGTCTATATGTTTTTGGAAGCACTTGCAGATGGTGCTGTGCGGCAAGGATTAAACCGTAAGGTAGGAATGTGAATCATTCTCGTGTCCAAAATAATGAACTACAAAGGTTGCCAATCGTCTCGCGTTGGAAATGGTTTATGGAGCATCCAAACTTGCCAAAAAGGATGATTTGCACTTTGCACAACTGCGCAATCAAGTTGAATCTCCTGCTGGAACAACAGTTTATGGCACAGCAGCACTTGAAAGTGGACACTTCAGGACAGCTATTATCCATGCCATTCAGGAGGCCGTTCAACGTGCAAAGCAACTGTAATTTCCATAAAGTATCTATTATTGACAAATATGTCCAACATAAAGTTACACATGGCTTTGACCTTGTTCAGTATCATCATAATCATTCTAATCTTGTTGTTCCCCACTATTATGGTCTTCATGTGTCATATTCGAAGCGTCATTTGCATTACCACGAGAAGGATTGCCCAACAGATTTTCCACTAAAATTCTCCAAAGGGAACCATAACTCTCCTCTTCTGTGAAAGTCTCTTCTTCTGCTATTCCGATGGGATGCTGTTGTTGTATGAGATTGGCTGGAAGACTAGAAGTATCATGAGCAAAGTCTGCAATACTAACTTGGGAAAAAAGTTGGGCATCAATTAAACAAAAATCATTCTTCTCGTGCTGCTCCACACTTATAGTATCTTGATCAATTAAAGAACAGGCGGTCATTACACATTCCAAAAACCAATTCCTGATTTGTATAGAATTCCACGCTGGTTCGGCTAAAGATATAAAGACTTTGGAAATTTTATCCAGCATGCTCACCATGGAAGCTGAAAGTTTGTTTTTACGTTGTGAAAAGCTTCCTAAACTGTATAGAAATGTTTCACTCATCTCAAGCTTCCAGGCTTCCAACATCATCAAAACCGTCTCTGGAAAAGTTAAGATAGCATCCAACAACTTTTTGTTGGCATCATCATGCCCTAAAAGGAACTTAGCCAAAGCATAATTCAGTTTGTAATTAGGTAACAACTCCAGTTTCAAATGATGTGTATTTTCATACGAGCTTATGACAAATATGTAATCACGAGCTAAAATAGATACAGTGTCCATATACAACAGAGCACCCTGAGTTTCGGAGTCAATTGACTTTTCAACAACTAAAAAGTACTCACCATAGGATCATGTTCCCAGTCCAAGTTGTAAAGAAGTTTTACTACTTGTAAACTGGTCTGATAAAGTCCTCTTCGAATAAGAGCGTGTGAATAACGAAACAATACCTACAATAATCATAACAAGACGATATAACCAACACCTTCCTTACCACAAATAAAAGATAATTAGAGCCTTGTTCAAACTTCAAACGACAAGTGCCACGAAAAGGTTTGAAGTTTGCAGGCCAAGCACCTTCTAAAATATAGATTGCTCTTTCCAACAGATTGACGGAACGTTCTGGTTCTCCCATCAACGCATAACTCTCAGATAGTCGAACGAGTGCTTCTACATGGTAGGGATGTCTACTCACAAAATCTACCAAAAGAGAAGGATCTCCAATTTCTACAATATTCTCAAAGTCATTTCTAGTGGATACAAAAATTCCTTCAAAGTCATATCTGAACCATTTACATCCAGATAAATCTTCTTCAACCAAAGTAAGTCTAATGTCTTCGGGTGTTCCCAGCCAGTCCCTTCCAGGTGAAATCAAAAGTGACTTGCGCTTTGCAGAAAAGTTGCTTCGTACAAGTCGTGAGCGGACTCCCATTTCAGCCATTCTTCCACGTCCTTGTTTCTTGTCACTTGAATCGTCAATACTACTTCCGAAAAGTTTCCTAATTTCGTGCTTGGAGTGGAGAAGAGAAGCATCCACCCAAAACACTTTCGGTAAATCCGTTCCTATGACTTGCTCCTTTGTTTGGCTCTGGGCAGGTTCCTTCTGAGTTAGGTTTTCATCCCAGTCTTGTGAAACTGTTTTCTTCTTGTTTTTCCTATTTCTTCTCTTTTTCTTCACATCATTATTTGGCGCAAAACTTTTACTATTTTTTGGCTTCTGGTTGGACCCTATTTGGTCTTCTTCCGACTCGTCTTCTGAAAGGGCTTCTGTTGGTACGTCACTTACGGAAGACTGCAACAGTAAAAAGGGACTTTTGACAGACTGAAAGAGCTCTGGTTCTTCAAATGCACTCACTTGCTGTTCTTCTTCTCCCTGTTCAGGTTTTAACGAAACAGCTTTCAACTCTCTTTCCAGACGTCTTAATTGTCTTCTACTCATGACACAAAACATACAAACCGAATAATATCAATTTTATTTATCGACAATTGCAGTCAACTATAATCTCGTTAGAAAGTTGTTGTTGTTTCTTTCACTTGTTGGTCACTTGTCCGATATCTCATCCACTCCATCCTCTTCTTTACATATTTTGTTAATAAACTCCAAAATAGTAGAGCTTTCATCGACGTCATTTTCCGAGAAGTGTTGTTTCACAGCCAATAAAAGCTCGGTTTTACTACAATCCTTACCAACTTTCAAGTTGAAAGCTTTACGATAGCGTCGAAGTGATGATAGGTTCAAGCGACTTAAACAAGCAGCAACTTTAGGTCGTTTCCTCTTTTTCTTTTCCAACTTTACAGGTTTCCTTTGGCGGAGTCTAATATTGGAAACATCGTCTTCTTGAGTTGAACCGTCGTGCGAAAGTCTCGAGTTTTCATCTCTCCCAGTGCCCCTGTAGTTATTTGTTTGAGAACTTTTTGGTTCGGGAGGAACATCCACCGTGATTGGAAAGCCTTGTTCGTCATAAACAACTTCCAATGCGTTGCGTTGTACTCTCAGTTCTTCTCCATCCTTTCAGCCATATTGAAAAATACTTTAACACAAAACGAAAGGTGACTTACTTCTAACACTACTTCATGCCAACCACCAAGGCTTTGTCCAGACTTGATGTATCCAAGTTGACCCACAAGACTCCTATTGTTCTTTCAGCTGGTTTGTTCATAAATAAATTCTTCTTACGGTCTTGTACGGTTATTCCCAGCAATACGAACTTTAGTAGCTCTCGGAAGGACAGTTTCTACCATATCCATGGCCAACTTAAGACTGATCCACCATGCCCAATCGATAAAATCACGAAAACGAAATCACATTCCATTCCTTTCTACGGGACAGCAAAACAACCCAAAAGAAAAGGCTTCACAACTATTGTTTATTCATCGATGGATGACAGCTCGTGAGTAGTAATCACGTTTAACAATTGTAACAAAAACTCACAATAACTTTGTATTTCTTGCGAGTCTTGAATAGGTGGAAAATGTACAAAAACTACTTTAACAGAAAATTCACATTGTGCTCTTGTCAGCGACTGGTAATATATCCAATTACAAAGAAACCTCCCAGCATCCTCCGAACTCTTGACGTGAAATCCCTTCTTTTCAAGTTCCTCTACTGCTTGCCGAATGTTGATGCTAGTAACTAGAAAAGAATCCACTGGTTTGGTATCATCAATAGGGACAACTTTTGGTTGCCAACCACTTTCATCTGGACAACTGAAGGAAGCTTCTGTTCCACTATTTGTTAGTCCATCTGGGAAACCACTTGCCTACTTACCGTTGTAAGCTCTTTCTTCGAGTCGAAAACAATTGGCAGAAGCATCCACTCCACAATGGATGATAACGTTACGAACGCTCTTGTCCCGGTGCAACTTGCCATATACTTCATCCAGCGCTTGTTGGGCACCTTTTACACTAGTCGTTGCAACTGTCGTAGTAACGACCCTAGCTGCTTCGTGAAGTCCCCTTCTTTCTTCACAAAAAGAAACAAACTGTTTTACAAGAAACTCTGTCGGGTTTTGTGAAACCCGATGGAAGCGACCAAAACCTGTCAGATGAAACTAAAACTCGTCAATAACTTATTGCAAGCAAGAACAAACGTACATGTACAGAATACGGAGAAGGGTCGTTGGTAACAATACCAAGAGAACCCATTGGCTATCTTTATGGATGGATGATGATGTGGAAAAAGGGTTATGGTTGGTGAACCAGTGTTGTGTGTGAGTGTGTGTTCAACCCAAAGGAACAAGGGCCTTGACCCACAATGACTGTGAAGACTTGAAAACTAATGATAGAACGTCTCCGTTGTGTTGTTTGTGGAGTAACGGATACTCCTTTGTGGAGAAGTGGACCAAAGGGACCTAAAACTCTATGTAACGCTTGTGGGGTGCGTTGGAAAAAAGGAAAGTTGTATATAGATGGAAAACAAGCTTCGCCACCGGTAACTACTCGTTTGATAGAGAAAGTTACACATAAGCAAGCAAGGGCCCATCGACTGACCAGTATTAAATCCCAAGTTCAAAGTCACTATTTTCCCTACCAAGGCTCCTCTACAGTGCAAGATGGAGAATCAGAAACTTCCAAATATGAGGCTTTCTTGAAAACCCCAACTGCTGCAGCTATTGCTTATGCGGCCTCCAAGTCTTTTAGAAACAGTTGTCGGAACAGAGTGGTGGTGACTAAGGAAGAGAACGAAGTAAACAAAAAGGTCATAGACGAGCAAGGTACTCAGAACACAAGTTGCATGACTGTAAGAAGAGACCATTCTATAGATGATGACGAAAAGAGAAGTTGTTGGTTCTTGTCGGGTTTGTATTCAGAAAGTGACAACGAGTTGGAAGGCTCCCCTGTACTTATTGAGTTGGATGCAGACTCACTTCCTGCAGAAGAGCGAGGCTCTTTTCGGAAAGAGTCTTCTGTATGGACCCAACGTTATCGGGGCAAGGCAAACAAGTGGAGTTCCATTTTCAAGAAGGATACAGCTCGTCCTTTCTGCAGGCGGAGAAAAGATACTAAGAGTATCAGACGGCAGACCGAGTACAAGTTTAGATTATTATTGGATGCTGCCAAGGCGGTAGGAATGGAAGTGTAATAAGTTGTCTGTATATAAGAGTGTGTATAAAGGAGATGGAATTATGGAAGCAAACAAGTTTGCTATCCGTTCTTGTGAAATTTCATTTGTATTATTTGGATAAAAAATTAATGTAGTTTGTATTTTCTATGAAAGTTTGCTCATATAAAAAATCGTGGACTTTTTGCAAGTCAAAGTGTTAGAAAATGAACCACATACACTGCAACAGTCCATAACTTTACTTCTTAGAAGGAAGCTCCCCCTCAATATGATCAACTCATGATTCCCAATAACCTTATCAAAAGGATACCATCAAAAGTCTTTTCCTAATGAGAGTTGGAACTCCATTAAGCAAATCCTTTTGGATATTCGGAATTGGAAAAGTCCACCTTTATTTCTATGGAAGCAACTATTGTTCTTTTACAAGACAAAGAAAGCTCTTCAACCTGGAATAGTTATGCACCGAATATTCCACGTTGTAAGTGTTATTATCCAATCCATCCGACTTGAAGGAAAATTTCCCATCCTATACAAACATGCGACAGAAGAAGGTTGTAGGAAATGATAAGTAATCTCATAGAAATTGAAATCCACACAAATTGGGTGCGCTCTTTTCACTGACTTTGGTTTGTGACTTTGGAAAAACTACCATCACTTATGTTTTCTCGCTCTTCCAACCAGCAGTTGAAATTGCAACCAAGGCCTCCAAGCGAGTTCCGAATATTACCGAAATTTGAGGAAGAACGAGAAACAACCAAGAAAAAAACTCCCAAGTTAAAGCAAGTTCTCAACTACTTAAGCGACCACTTTTGTCCTTGGGATTATGATCTTTATCGACCAGATATTACGTTCTTTCAAGTATGGAATGTAAAGTCCGAGGAAGAACGAATTCCTCTTCGGTTTTCCGTTACACTGAAGCCTTTCTCTTCTCAAGCCAAGTTTTCTCTCCGTGCACGTCTATTTCAACTAGGAAACGAGGGTTTTTTCTTCGTCAGTATTGAGTCTCAATATTTCGTTTCTTTTCTAACATTGAAATAGGCAAAGGCAGCCTCCTATGTATGTCCTTATCGTTCAACCGTTCCTAACGATTATTATGGCTTCGAGGCAGATAAAATTGTTGCCTCTTTTGGTAAAGAACAACTAACTAAACTATATATCAACGGCAATCTGAAAAGTTCAAGGAAAAGCAACCAACGGGTAATACGAGTGAGGAGTGGATTGAGATCTCTTTGTCTAAAAAAGTGCTAGGTTCTTGGTTCCATCGGCGTTCAACAAAAGATTGTTTTTGATTCCAATAGAAAACTAACGTTGCGGTTGGGTTATAACTCGCGACAGGAAATTTATGTGACACCGATACCAAACGGCCTTTACTTTTGAGAAGGTTTTCATTTTTGCGAGACAGTATTATGGTTTGAATCGTGGTTGTATACTTATATCGACACACATACATCATCGTATATATATATATATATATATATATATGTACATATATTCAGCACCTCCCCATTTCCAAAACTCCAGCAAAATAAATCACCCAGGTGGTGACTTAGGTGTTTCTCTTTCGTTTCCTTTGTTCTATTTGCAACAAACGAAGGGAAGGATATCCTATACAAAAAGTTTGGATAGTCCACTTCCACATATCTCTTCCACCTCCTAACTGTATGCATATTCGATAAGCCACAACAGCTTCCACCAAGTGAGCGCTCCAAGCCATAAAACAAGCCACATACAACATAGTAGGAGTACGAAATATGGCTAGAGCAAGCATTCGAAACCATTCCAACACCACTCCCATATCCACTTGTACACAGGTTACCGCTGTAAATATACATAAGCCACTGACGATCAAAAACGATAAGTATAGAGGAGGTGACAGTACTTGTGGACAACCCTCTTTTCTCGTATGAATCATTCTTCACCAGAAAATGAAGAATGGGTGGAGAAAGGAATATTTATAAAGAATTTCATGTTTGTTTACTTTGAGAAAAGTTTATAGAGTGACAAGAATCGACCATTCTTTCTATTGAATTGCTATATGATACTTCCCTTGTATAGACCAACAACAACTGTCTGTTATCAAATGATTATTATTCATCGGTGGATATGGGCAAGAAAGGAAAGCTATACTTGGGTAGGTCCGCTAAAGCCAAAATTCGTAAAGTACAAGCAAGAGTTGGAAGTGGTAGAATAAGTAACAAAGTTGTATGTGACTCAGGTAAGTTACTAGTCTTTCCTTTCCTGATAAAACTCTGAACTTTTTCAGCGTTGAAACAACTTTGGTTACCGAAACAACGTGCAGCCGCACAGTTGGAACGATTAGGCGTTGCATACGACTCCAACAAATGCCTATCTAGAAAGACTTGGAATAATAACACACATTCGGAGCTTATCGAATATTATGAACAACTATCCAAGCAAGAAGCTCCCAAAAAACCCAAGCAATTGACTCGAAGGTAAGTTGTCGTTGCAGGTTTCCGTTGGTATGAATGGTAAGCTTTGTGTTTCTCTTTGTATTATAGTGAAAAATTGTACTTGAGCAATATTTTCCATAAATATGGAAATAACTTCAAAAGAGCTTTCCGTGATACAAAACTCAATTATTTACAGTGGACGGTATGCTCATTCTAACGCATGTATATACGACCGTTTCCTAAAGTATTGTCTCAGGAAACACAGCTTGCGAAGAACTATAAGAAATGGCTCGACGAGAACAACCAAAGTTTGCTGACAGAGAATTAGCGCTCGACGAAAAGGTGCTCGCTGTAGCCGATAGTCGTTGTCATGCTTTCCAATCACTCAATATCAGCGCTATTGTCCAATCCAGGAGGATATGGGACTAGCTAAAGTCTCTTCTTCTTCTTCTTCTTCTTCTTCTATCATGGCATCATCGTCCAAGGGAGCCCCTTGACGATTGCTTCCTAACTGACCTTGGTTAGTAGCAAACTAGAATAATTCCAGTTAATAAAATATAAGAGTTTTTTTGTTGCTTGCCTCTGTTATTGTAGTGGGGTTGGAGTGGTCGTTCATAACACTGCAAGTCTCACTCTTCACTCCTAACGGAAGGGGAGCTGGAGCATTGCGTATATCCTCCAGCTAGAAAACTTTAAATACTTTACTACAAAAGGCAAGACAAACCTTTTTCCTCTGAATATTTTCCAATTTGCAAAGTATTTCGTGACTCTTATTTCCTATAGGCTGTGTGACATAGGAAGAATTGAAAAAGGCGGTTCTTAAATCCAACAAAGACATTAAGCGCGGCCTTTCCAAACACAACTACCCCTTTTATTCAACAGAAACAAAAGATTGTAAGAAGAATAACTATTTCTTGCGAGCAAATTGCACTAATTAAGCAGTGGGAACAACAGAGACAATCTTGCCACCTCTCTGATGGATCTGAATCATACGCTCCAACATCTTGTCTTTAGGAATCAGATAAGCTTGATTGGAACGACGGAATTGAGACAAGACTCCCTTGGACATACTGGTAGAGTTACGATATAATCTTCCCGAGCGAGAACGCAACGTTATTCCTGCGGCACCAGCAGCTCCAGTGGTCCACTCAGTGAATCCAGTCACATCTAGACGGTAGACTTTACCATCATTATCAGCTTCCACACCCATACGGAAACCAGCACAAGGAGCACCAACAGGTCCTGGTCTTCCTCCCATAGATCGACGGGCAGTAATACGATTCAAAAGTCGAGGCACGGTTTGTATTCCAAAACGGTTAGCTTGAATGCTGGAAGTAAATGCCTTGCGTTCATTCGACTTGTAATCGGCATCAGCTGCACGACTACTCATTCGTAATAACTGAGCAAACTGGGCAGTGGAATTGCGAGTACCAAGAGTATATGGACGATTATAAGGTACATTATCGTATCCAAAAGCCTCGTCATATTCTCCATCATCCAAGAACGAGTCAATAAGTGCATCAAAACCGTGAGAGTCATAAATAGAGGTCTTGCCTTTCAACTCGGCATAACTGTCGCAAGGTCTTCCCAATAAAATTCGGAAACACAACTCAATAGAGTTATAAACTGGACGATTATAGAAAAACTTGTTCTTAAACACATCTGACTTGCTCAGAGCACGAATGTAGTCCTTCACACGATACCTTCCATTCTGGAATGCCGAATCAATGGTCTTCAGCTCTTCCCTTTCAGCTTCAAAGATATAGTTATTTCCAAATATTCGTTGATAGGCCATTTCCAAAATGTTTCTAGTCTCATCTGGTGGAAAGCGTCCAGCTCGGACTCTCCCAGGTATGATCTTATATTCCTTCTCCTTCACTCTTTCAAAGCCGATTTTGGGTAACATGGACACACCGTTAGCAGAAAGATAATCCTTGGAAAATTTAGGAACTGCAGTATTATCTTTTACTCCTCCTTGAGATATCTTAATGCCACCAGATCCTTCGGTTGAAGCACTGCTTCGCTGACTAGTAGTGGCTGAGGAAGTCTGTGCTTTTGGTGCCTCTACTCGTGCGGTGGGTGCGGAAGAAGGGGTAGCACTGGATTCTGCAGGTTTACGAACGTCCTTCTTCTCTTCAGCTTTGTTTTCTACTTTATCTCTTGACGATGAGATATCTTTGGAGTCTTTGGAATCTTTGCCATTGTCTGCTCGAGCATAAAACACAAGCCTTGATCTACCAGTCTTCTGGATATTGGACGCTATTGGTCTACCCCGAAACCCTAACAGTCAAATATGTATCCTTTCACTTTGACAGTTACTACGATGCTTTATAACTTACCACTAGTTGAAAGTCCACCTACATAGTTTCTGTTAGTTCCCCATACGATGGAGCTGTTGACAAACGACAAGCTGGAATCCATATGCGAAAGATAAGTTTGAAAAGATAATGAAGCACTATGCGGGTATTTGAAGGGGGAGCTATTAAAGGAGATTTTGGAGATTCTCCCATTGGGACGATTTGTGGATATGATGGACAACCCCTACCATTATTGCTTAGCAAGTAACTAGATCGACAACAACAAAGTAAAGAAGATAGAAAGAACAATGATATTCATGGATATTTTCCAACCACGTTGATCGATTTAGTGGAACTTTTCTAGTTTTACACTGCTAATGTCTTTGTCTTATTGTCCTGCTAGGAACACTTCCAGTTTTTGGATAAACTGGAATAAAAGCGGATTTTCAATATTCAGGAAAGTTATTTGGATTTCTGCTTCAAGTATACAAAGTTGAAACGAATAAATAACAAACTCTTGGCAAGACACGGGACAGCTTTGAATACTCTTTTGAATGATTTTCTGGCAATTCGAAACTTCTACAAAGATAGTTCACTAACTTTGTCATGAATTGAAAGCTGTCATCAACCATTCTAGTCCAGTATCTTAGTAAAACTGTTCAGTTTGATCACAGAGTGTTCGAGATTTAAAAATGAACTCCTTTTCGGGGTACAATGTTATGATGCTTTTCATTTTCTCACGTGATACTACAGGAACTTGAGATGTTTTGGTGTGGATCCGTAAAACATACTTGAAATGGCTTTTTTACAACATCACAGACAATGTGGGAGGCAACACAACGCACCCTCAATCCAATGGTAGAGAAACGGTTCGATTGAAAATGAGAGGAGTTTTTCTGTTTTGAGAGAGCGAGTCTTTGATGATGAGTGGTCGAATGTATACATTTGATACAACCGATCATAAGTCACCTTGTTGTAACTTTCAGTGGTATATTTTCAGAAAACAAGGTGAAAGCAGAATCATCACTTGTGAACTGTTCGGAGTTATCGTTTCACTTGAAAACAGATGGGACTGGCTAGAGTTTATGATAGATGACTCGTTACAGTTGACTGCTTTCAGGTGCCCAAAAAGAGATAAACTTGGAATGGAAACGTTACTACAACTGGGTGACGTTGCTCAAGTAACCGGTAATTGGAAGTTGTCAAACGGGGCTTTCTTGAACGCAACTAAAATTGCCATCCATAATAATCCCGACGTAGAGTGTAAATATTGGCTCCAACAGATACAAAAATACAAGTCAAAAGTTTGTGAGTTAGAAATTCCGTCAGATTGGATTCGTCGACAACAAAGAGCACACAATTTGAAAACGGATGCAGTGTTATCCTTTTCTGCTCAAGTTTCCACTGCTGCTGCTACGTGTTGGAAATTGTGGAAGAAACATTTCAATCAAGGTGGGAAGATCAGCCTCCAAAGACTGTGGGAAGTAATTCAACGAGAGAATTGTCCGAAAATGCAAGAGTTGTCAAGTTGTAGAAGGAATCAGATAGTGCAGTTGTTGATTCATTTGGGGTATCTAATTCCTCTATCCAAGGAACCTGAAACTTATGTTTTACTTATCGATGATATTTTGGATAAACAAGTAATGCAAATTTTTAATCAAAACATAGCCTCAAAGACGCTTTCCTTAAGAGAAGTTGCATATCGACTAGAGGAATATTTCCACGTGGAGGAAATCAGTTTGGAACGTGTTGAGGAAAGTATTCTGAGACTAGCTTATAAAGAAAAAGTGGAACAAGTGTGACACAAAGACAGCTACTGTAAATTGATTATTATCGTTTAGGCATCTTTATATAAACAAAAATGGATATAAATGAAAAGAGTACACCTATAGAACAAAGTGGATGAAATAAGAACAATGCAGTTGCTACAAACATTTTTTCCATGCTTCCCAAGTTTCGTAGTCGAGACTAAGAATAAGTTGACCATTTTCAAACTGTAATTGTGACGGTGTAGTGCCAGTTCGTAGTGGAGCCGACGATGTATTTGGTTTATCACTTTGATTGGATTCAAGTTGTGAGCTCTTCGGGTCCATATACTTGACCCATGGTACCCCATTTCTCTCCGCTATGGATACTTGTCCATCTTTGATAAGGAACGAAAGATGAAAAATATTTTCAATTGTCTTTGCATACGAAGATTTGTCCAATACAAGTTGAAAGAAACTTGATTCTTCTTGTGCACGAATAGCTCTGCACATATCTTGAACCTTCTTGTCAGTCTCTATCTGGCCAAGACCTTCATTGGGATCCACCAAAGTTGGTCGTTGAACAAGGTAATTATCTGTCTGACGCATCCGCTTCTCTTCCCTTGCGCTGCCTTCCAGTCGACTACGTGTCCTAGGAAGCTTGGGCGGAGCTCTGATGGGTCCTCGAACAAACGCAACGGAAGGGGGAATTCGATAAAACCTTGCAAGCTGTTTACCCAATTGCTTCCAATCAATTGCAACATTTTCAAAGTTATCTTCATCATAGTGAGACTGTTCTTCGCCATAGCCGTTCAAGTTGGAACCACTACTTGGACCGGAACACTTGTTCAACGCTTTTAGTCGTCGGATAATCATTTCCAAAGTAAATTCTTGGTGAGTTACCGAAATTTTCTCTGCTCTTGTTGCTGCACTTCTTGCAAATAATAGAAAAGCCCCACTCAATAATACTTGTCCTTGGGGTGCAGTAGAACGCGTTCGTAACTGTTCATTCTCCGTCATCCTCTTATCAATCAAAGTCGAGTCAGGGTCTTCGAATTCTCCTAATTCCGAGTCAACCCTTTTGTGGTGTTCCACTATCTCATTCAACAAATCAGCCCTTTCCGTTAAGTGAAGACTCCTTCCGGTATCCAAGCTGGGTCCGGTCATTTTCAAAACCAATCAAATGGGCAATAGAAAAAAGGGAATTGAGGCGCCTTTTAGCCACAAAAAGCAAGTTTCTTCTCGAGAGAGTCTGACTAGTCAAGATTATTTAAATAACAGTTATTACTTAGTTCACGTAGTATTTTTCACGTAGAACTTCCTAATAAAGTTGAGATATTTGCTGAGCAAGTTTAAGCTCGAAACTCCTTGACCTTGCTTTCATCACTTTAGGTATGTTTCAAAGATTGCATTCATTTCTCCTTCTCAAAACCTGGGCCAAATTGAAGTTTTTGTAAGGTTATCTATGCTTTGATGAGATATATTGTCACTCTGGCACCAGCTGTCAGGGGCTATCACAACGCACCTTCAGCTACCATGTTCAGATTGGCTTTTCAAAAATTTTAACGACTCTATAAAGGCTGCGTTTTTCATCGGTTTGAGTTCAAAATGAGAAATTTTATTCATAATACTGATCAAGACATCTTTGTTTCGTTTGCAATTCATTTCAAAATGCTAGTAAATATATCCCACTTTTGAAAGAAGAAGAAGATAGATCATATTCAACTGGAAACATTGTTCTAAACAAGCCTGAAATATGAAAGCTCTTTGATGTACTTTCCCCATATCATGCTAAGATCCTTTGAAAAACTACAGATCGAGAGTGCAAGGAACAACTGGAACAAGTTGCTCATGTCTATAGTATTTTGAGATTATATGGATGAAGAAACACATCCTATGAGTCTCGCTACTGAAGAAATATCTTTTAGCATACTTATAGATAGATATGGCTTGATATAAGAAATATGGCAATGTTTTCCATACTAGAAACTTGCGCAAATTTTCATGCAAGTTAAAACAGAATGAGAAGGAAATTTTATTTTTAGAATTGCTTCACTTCCTGTCTGCTGTTGATTCAAAGACCATCCTCTTATCTATTTTGAAAGCACTGGATTGAAGAAACCGGAAGCTAGGTCCATCCCTGATTTGCTTTGTTCTGTTTCAGACCCAGATCATTGTAAAGACGAATGCGAGGCAGAGTTCCAGATTTTCAGAAGAACTTTACGAATGTTTTCTCGAAATTCTCATTCTTGTGTGAAAGGAACTTGTGAAATAGTGAATTCAAGCACTTGCTGGACTGCAACGGGAGAAAACTTGAGAGGTCCAACTCAATGGCAAAGAAGGAACTAAAAAGAGTATACCGAAAGAGTTTTTTTGCATCCGTTAACGTCTTGGTTAATTCTACGTGCAAGTTCTCAGCCTCGTCACTCTTTACAATCACATTTAGCGTAATTTATGAACCTCTAAGATGAACATCGAGGTGAAGAACAGATAGATGCATTTTGTGATGAGTCTCATCGTGATTGTCTTATTTTGGAATAGGAAACCTACTGAAATGGGAGCCAAATTATATTCAGGTGTTTGAATTGTATAGTCGGCTAGGACTTTTGAAAACCTTACCAGAAATACTGGACAGTAGAGCCGTATTGAATAAGCATTGTTCGGTTACTTTTTAGTTTACTATTCTTCTTTCTTTCACAGCCTGTTATGAAAATTTCTGCCTGCTTTTCGAATCCATATTTTTTCATTTATTTTCTATTTATGATCGCTCTTAATAAAAAGGACGGAGGCAAAGGATATGGATTCTCAGATCTTTGTATAACTGTGCTGGATATTACCATTCCAAGTCTTATTCGGTTCATTGTGTGTATCATCTGCTGTTGCGAATGGATTTCTTGATTTCTGTGTTGTATCTGATGGGTTTGTATTTCCTCGTAAAATATATTTCAGCTCGATGGATTTGACTGATTTCGCTAAGCCCAATCAATTATATACTAATGCGGCCATTGAAAATGAGTTTGGCAACTTTATTATACAAAGGAAGAATTGATTCCTTTAGATGTGCTTCTTTAAAGTCGAATCTCTTCTTTAGAATTGGCTACAATGTACATTTCTTCGCTATATGGTATATTCACGAGTAATTGATGCAAAGGGTTGATTGTTATCATCATTTTTTAGACTTTATTTCTCCTTTCTAGCTCTGATAGATATATGCAAAGACTTCATATTAAACTTACATTCTATATCAGAGCAGGAAGAAGCCTATATCGTTCAGCTAGAGAGGCTTCTACTCTATTTGTTGTTGGTGTGAAGGAGGACGACTTTTATTTCAGTGTTTGTCTCTTCGGCAGCCTGAAAAATATTTTCTGGAAAGGAAAGAATCGTTTCCAATGGAAAATTGAACTTAGATATCTTACCCATCGTAATATTTCCTTTAAATGCAACGGATGCGTTTACAAAAGTTGATTCACGATATTCCATTTCCAAGAATCATCTTCACCTGGAAGAATCCTTTTTATAACATTCTAGTTTCAAAAATAGTTTTTAGCTGAGCATCTCAACGAGAATGACGAGTTGTTTGTCAAATGATATTTCATAGATACGATGTTGAATTGAATTTCTTATCGTAAGAAAGATCCAAGGCATTTGACAAAGAGAAATAAGAATCAACAGAAAATGAAAAAGTAACTTTTATTTCGAAGAATTGCCGGATACATTGATCAACAAGATATTCATGACAATATGCCACTCTTCGAAAAGCCTTGGAGCTTTCTGCACGATCGTTAACCTCCAGAAGTGTTCGATTATGGCATTGACAAAGGGTAGAAACGTTATTGAATATACTGCAGCTGAGAGATATTTAACATCTTTTAGTTGGTTCTAGTTCTTTATACAAAATACATGTTCAATTACTACAGGAGCAACAGGCGAGTAAGCATTGAAGTGGAATTGGCTGGATGGGGTTCCATTTTGTTTCTATACGTACCTACTTCAGATTGAGAATGTCAAAGGTGCTGTTTTTCTCTTCTGAAAGTCAAACTTGTTCATTTGAATAGTCTTTCTCAAAATATGATTGAATATTTTGTTGACTAAAAGAGGAGCACATCCTCAAAAAGACAGAATCCTGCAGAATGAATATTTGAGAATGTAGATGAAGGATAAACAGGTCAAGAAGATGGTCTTGCCTTGAAAAGCTTCTTCATAATAGACCAAGACCAAATAAGCACTTGAATGATATGAACATGTAAATGAAAGAGTTTATATATTCTTTGTGTCTATAGACATTTTGTATCATCAGCTGATATACTTTTTACAATATTTTGAAGAAATGGTCAATCTGGATGTCCTCTTTCATCTAATATATTATAGAACATCTTTTATAAGACGACATTTGAAAGTCACACAAGGCGTGCTTTTATCGAACATTGGAGAATGCGGGGATATAACTCGTTGATGCTCATAAGTTGTTTTTTTTCGAAATGTACAATTCTCTATTCATTGTAACTAGTCTTCAGGGTTATCTACGGTTCTTTTTGTTATCATATTGGGAATGTTCCTTTTACGAGATTGCTTTGAATTGAAATTCAGTTGCTCTCTATATTCCATCGACTGCTTCTTCATATCATTTCCAAAGCATTGATTTATCTTACCAGTTCTTCTTTTCATCTTTTTTTTCTCATCAGTGGACAATATAATGTCATATTTTCTTCCCATCAGCAAGTCTCTCTGAGTTGATGCAGCCAGCTTTTAACCGTCCAATTCTTCTGTGATATGACTTGTTGTCTTAATCTATTTTCCTTAGCTTTGCATTCCTTACTTTGAAAGTAAGATGTGCATCATCTCAAACATTTTTTATTTCTATTTCAATCCATCATAGCTGTATAGCTTCCATAACTTCCCAGATATATCCAATGTAGCAGTGTTACTGCTTATCCTTTGTGAGAATAAAACAAACAGCCCCTTAGCTCTTATTCTACTGCTATGCTTTTCTTTATCCTTTTTGAATGGTAACCTACTCAACTGGTCGTGTTGGATACGCAATTCGAGGAATATATTTCGACCCGGTGTTTTTTGCTTGCATTTGAAATCATTTGATTGAATTTCTTTGAATATCATTCTATTCTCAAGATAGAATCAAAACAAGTTTTATACTAATAATCATCCAAGCTGTTGTGTCCAAGGGAATCCGGTCATCTCCTTATCACACGAGCCATGTGAACATTCGACTTTTAGAATTGTTGTTTTCCATGTCACGTGAAAATAATAATACGAAGCACCAAGTAGGTATTGCTGTAATAGGTGCTGGTCGTATTGGTTTGGTACACTGTGAAGCGTTGACTAGAGTACCGGGCGTCCAACTGGTAGCGGTAGCAGATTTTATTTATGAAGCTGCCACCACAGCAGCCGAAAAGTTCCACATCCCTTTGGTATTTCAAGACTGGAAAGAAGTTCTCAAGTTACCTCAAGTTCACGGTATCGTCGTTTGTTCTCCTTCAGATACTCACGCAGATATTATTGTTGCCGCTTCCCGTGCCGGAAAGCACATATTTTGTGAAAAACCTATCGATTACGACTTGAAAAGAATCGACCTAGCTTTGACTGCCGTTGAAAGAGCAGGGATTTTGTTTCAACTAGGATTCCAGCGACGTTTTGATGCCAACTTTCGTAGAGTACGGGAAGCTGTAAAGTCTGGCGAAGTTGGAACACCTTACATGTTACACATCGTCTCAAGAGACCCAGCTCCCCCTCCTATTAGCTATATTAAGCAATCAGGCGGCTTATTTTTTGATATGATGACACATGACTTTGATATGGCACGTTTCTGTATGGGATCAGAGATAGTGGAAGTAACCTCTTTGGGAGCAAACTTGGTGGATCCTGCCATCGGTGAAGCTGGAGATATCGATTGTGCTGTTGTAAGTGTAAAATTTGCAAACGATTGTATCGGCACAATAGAATGTTGTAGAAAGGCTGCATATGGTTATGATCAGAGAATCGAAATTCTGGGTTCCAATGGCTCAGTCAACATTGGCAACAATTTTCCCAATACAGCAATCATAAGTAACTCTCAGACCATTCATAGGGACCTTCCGTTGAATTTTTTTATGGACCGATATAAAGAAGCATATGCACGAGAAATGGAAACTTTTGTGGATATCATTCAGAACCACAAAACTCCTCCTGTAAGTGGATTAGATGGTAGAATTCCAGTAGTTTTGGCTTATGCAGCTTTGCAATCGATGAAAGAAAAGAGAACAGTTAGAGTAGATGAAATAGACTCCACTGCGAGTGTTCTTGCGCATCCAAAAATGTAAAAGTCTTCAAGTAACATCATTGCAAGTATTGGATTTTCGATTGGATCACATGTTGTTAGGTTGGCTGCGTGAATGGAGTGCTTCGTTATTCTCAAGTGACGATAACGAAACCACTCCATATCTCCAATATGTTTTGCTTTTCCAAGTATGTCAATCTTACTTTAGCAAAATACAAGTGGATTAAGCGGTTTTTGTTAGGCCGGCGTCAGTGCTGTGGAACTTTATCTAGATTGGAGACAGCGCAAGTGTTATGAGTTGAAATACATTCCCAAAGAATTAGAAAAACAAGTGAAACCAGAAAAATTTCAAAAAGCTCAGAATTATGGGAAGGACAAGAACACTTTCTCCATTCTTAGCGAAGTGATACAAACGGGGGTTCACATGACCCTCTTTGCAACCCACTCTTTGCCTCGATTGTGGAAGTATTGTTCACAAATCATAGAAAAACACTCTTTTATGAATTCCATACCGGCAGAATTGCAAACAACTCTGTTGTTTTCCTCTGTACTGTTTTTAGGAAATAAGCTCATCTCCTTGCCCTTTCGTATTTACAATACATTCGTATTGGAACAAAGATATGGTTTTAACAAAACCACAGGGAAGCTTTTTGTGAAGGATCTCGTTACTGGAACGTTGATTTCTGCAGTGATTGGATATCCTTCCTTAATGGGACTGTGGTACGTCCTGGAACTGAGTGGACAAAAACTGTGGCTTTATTTTTGGCTGTTCACAAGTTCATTAAGTATTTTATTGGCTTTATTATACCCTCCTTTGATAATGCCTTTGTTCAACAAATTTCAACCGTTGCAAGATCAAAAGTTACGTCAAGAGATTGAAGAGCTTGCTACACAGGTAGGATTTCCTCTGAATAAGATATATGTGATGGATGGTTCGAAGAGATCTTCACATAGTAATGCTTTTATGTATGGTATCTGGAAGAAAGGGATCGTCCTTTACGATTCATTATTAGAACAGAACAAGGATCATGACGAGAGAATTCTCGCAGTGTTGGCTCATGAAATGGGTCATTGGAAAATGAAGCATACTCAGAAAATGCTTCTTATTGGACTTTTACATAGCTTAGTACTTTCATGGTCGTATGGCAAGACGGCAAACAATGAGTCGATTTATCGCTCCTTTGGATTTGATACAAAAGCACATATCATTGGTCTTCTTCTCTTTAGTGAGCTACTTACTCCGTTAGATAGTGTGCTTAGCTTGATCATGAACTTTATTAGCAGAAGATTTGAATATTCAGCAGATGATTATGCAAGAAATATGGGATATTCATCTTATCTTATCGAGGCTCTCGTAACGCTCCATTTAGAAAATTTGTCAACAATGCATCCAGACCCACTGTATTCTCTTTATCATAATAGCCATCCTACGCTGACAGAACGTATTCATGCTCTCGAAAAGGATGATTCCGAAACGAAAAAGAATCAATAAAATTGGATTCCTTTAAACTCAAGTTGAAGAATATTGTCTATGATTAGGTTGAGACATTGAAATCTCAAAAAAATTTTAAAAATTCCAGTTATAACTGAGAAAAATGAAGGATTCAAACCAAGTTTGATTTCAAAGCAGCCTTATGTAGCTTCAATTTTGAAATTGACAAGGAAGTATCAAAATTTTAATAAACCAGCTGATGAATACCCACCGTGTTTGTCTTTGTCCACAAACTTTAGATAATAATTTCAGTATTTTGTATTTTGAAAATGAAATCAATCGAATTCTTTATTGCATTTGTTTCATCCTTGAAATGTTGCTTTCAACTCAATTGAATTTCGCTAGCTATTTAATAATAAATTTACAGGGTAGAACTTCTTAGTTATGTCATAAATGCAATTTATCTTTTTTTTCAACCGGGTGTTAGAAGTAGCCTATGTTGAATTAGCACAACTGCCAACATGGCTAAAATTTTTGAATGATATGATAGGTATGAAATTCGTTTCACAAAAATTTCCTAGTTGCTAATTTTTTATTGAATTTTTCCAGGCTTTATAACTTGACTTCCTTGACTTTTGGTTGCGCTGGAAGAACCTGTTCTACCAACTCCAGTCCTCATTTTATCTTTTCCTCCTAACATGGCTTCCATTATACCCCCTCTTCTTGTGTTTCCAGGATCAAATTTGACCTTTTCCTTTTCTGCTTGGAAGTCTTCGTATCTTGAATCTTTTCCAAATGGATTTGGATGCAAATAATTCAATGATAATGAGATAGGCATTCTTGCAGGTGGTACATAAGCTCCCTGAATTCTCGCCAGTTGCAAACGTTCTGTTGCGTTCTCTCTCATAACTGATAACAATTCTTTTCTCTCAGAATCAAACTGCCACGATGTTCCTTTACATTTCAACAATTCAGCACGAGAGCAAAAATATTTATCGGCAGCTTTGATTGCTTTGTTTACATCTTTTTCGACATTATCCGAAATCTGAATATGACTGAGAGACTCTCTAAATATATCAAATGACACCTCTTTAAGCTTATTCAATAGCTTGGAATACATTGTATACAGATCTAGTTGCACTCGTTCCAATAGACTTTTCCTTTTTCGTTCAAATGCCTTCGTTCCTTTGTATTGTGCAGCTTCATCGTCGTACAGTGCCAAGATTTCATTACGCAGCTCGGTACTTTCTTTACCAAAGTTTTGGATGATCCTACCTTCTTCTGTTTTTCTTTTCCATTCACGAACGCGACTAAAATAAGTCGTTAGCGCTTGTTCGAAGCAGTTATCACAGTGAAACGTCGCATTCATTTCATATTCCGGAGCTGTTACCAGATAGCTTTCAATTCCCAATCTTTCCCATACTTGTGTTATATGAAGAGATATTTCCATTGCAGGAGTTGGGTTGCTGTATCTATCTTCTATGAAAAAGTAGTCATCTGATGTCGGTTCTCTAAAACGTTCCCTCAGCGAAGTAGCAGTTCGTTCAAAACTTTGCCTATGAAAGACATAATGAGGGAACAGAGCAAACTCTATGTCGAAGAGGTCAGAGATTTTCTTGATTCCCGTTGATCCTTCTTCCCGTGCTCCCAAGAGACTGTTGCAGTCTTCAATGAACGCGGTGATCAAGTCTTCTCTATTAGTTTCCTCACTTTCAACATCCCTAAATACTACGACCAAAAGCTTCTTTGAATGAGAAGATAATACTCCCAACGAACGAAGTTTCATAACGTCCTCTATGGCGTTTTTAAATAACGGCAAACCTGTGGCCTCCAATCGGCCGACATCTCTGCTGTGAACGTGCAACACGATGACGTCAGAAACTGCTGTCGCAAGACGGACTGAACTTTCACCACTGGGTCTCCCACCGTGAAAACTTATTCAAAGCTACTTAATTACAACATACACAAGTCAAAGCTGGAACGTACCCACTATCAAACGCCTCTACATCGAACAGAACGAGATCCCTTTGTGGCTTATCCAGTACAACAATATCGGAACCTTCAATAAGCATTCCGTCGATACCTTTTGTGGTCGTGTTGAAGCGATCTGTTCCAACTTCAAAACCGGTACCAAACACGACGTTGAGTAACGTGCTCTTTCCAATGTTTTTACATCCCAAACTAGCCACTATGGTATAGTCACTAGCGCCGTCTTCTACACTAGTAAACAACTGTGACAAGTTGGACTTTATCAAGGTCAACTTTTTCGTATGAACCAATGAGATAGGAGCTTTCGACATGAGAATCGTTGGGAACGAAACCACCATACAAGGAGGGCAGATCACAATGATCTTAGAAGAACAAAGAGATGCTAGTTGAATGGTGCACAGTTAAGAGCTCGCGTCAGAACTATTGAAAAACAATCACACGTCCAGCAATAAAACAAAAAACTATTGATATTCAAAAAAATATAATGGAAAACAAAAGGTTTGAGCAAGAAAGAGAAAAACCCAAAATCAGGATTATACAACAACACAGAACTAAGACAACACAACTATGATCAGTGAACTTTCCTATCGTTGTCTCACTATTCGAAAACTATTAAAAAACAGCTCTTATTTACGAGAGAGGCAGTTATTTGCTACAAGAGTCAGAAATCTTGTCCTGTCATAGAAACTACTTCACTCCACATCTGTGGAGGAACAGTCTTCGTCCTACCAGCAAGTTCCGACCTTGTCACACAACAGTATAAGCAGATATATAGAAAAAGAGTCTCTTCAAACACCTACAGTGGAATATATGCAACCATATCATTAATCATACTAGTCGCAAAACCAGAGAAACCTGCAAAGCAACCATGCGCTGCATAGGAACCAAGAATGGAAGCATGCAGATTATCTGCAGCATTCGAAGGAACTGTGCGTGCAATAAAACTAACATCATGAAATAAAATGTTTGCCTATGCAAAACGAAATGAACATTTAGGATGTCATTCTGAAACAAAATGTGATACGAACTTCAGCCATTCGTTCGTCAAAATATTTTCTAATTTCGTCCATAAGAACAGGACAAAAATTTGCATAACCCTTTCCATTCGCTGTTACATATTCATGACCAGCTCCATCAGCAACCAAAATCATAGCAAATCCCTTGGCCTTTACACGTTCGTAGATATGATTTAAAAACGAATTCAACTTGAAAGAAAATTCCGGAATAAGGCAAGCATCAACCAAACGCGAAGCCAGCGCAGTTTCCACTGCAAAGAAACCACTATTTCTTCCCGGAACTTGTATTACAGCCTATAAGATATTGTTTAAAAGTAACTAAATAAAAGTAATGACATCCTTACTACAGCATGATAGGAACATGAAGCTTCACAATGGATACTACGTAAGGCTTGCGCTGCTGCTTCGATGGAAGTTTCAAAACCAAAGGAACGCTGAATTCGCATAATATCGTTGTCGATAGTTTTAGGTATTACCGCTACAGCACATTTCATTTTTCTTCTCTTTACTTCTTCGAATATTTGTTGTGATGCTTTCAGAGTTCCATCGATTGGACCACCTCCAATAATATAAACTTGGTTAAAGCCGTTGTCGGATATAGCGTCTACAATTGCTTCTGCTCTGGGTACTTCTCTTGAACTACCAAGAATACTACCTCCTTTCAAAGATATATCGCTATGCAAAGTGACACAACGGACAAGTAGCAATCAATAGCAACACATACTTAACAGTGTCTGGGTTAAGCGGGAACAACGATAGAGACGGTTCAAGGAAGCCACGGAAACCATATCTAACACCCAAAATTTGTTTCAACCCATAACTTCCAACTAAAGTATTTGTTAACTGTGCGATTGCAGAGTTCATTCCAGGAGCTAAACCACCGCAAGTAACAACGGCAGCCTGAAACACGAAGATCAACAACATCTATCTAAACAATATAAAAGAGATTCAACCTTGACATTTTGTGGATGAAACACGCAAGTCTCTCGCGGTCCAGCACGAAGATATAATTCTCTGATTTTAAGAGTATCAGAGTTTGGAAAAGAGACGTCGCCAATGAAGTAGTCATCGTTTGACACAAAAGGATGACCACCAGATTTTGATAAAACATTAGGATAGGTACCAAGGGAAGAGCACCATTCTGAAAGGTGTGGTGGATACAACTTCTTATATCTTACTGTCTTTTCCAAGTCGCACTTGTCAGTTTGAGAGTTGAGGGCCATTAGGCAATGGGCTCTTACGAACAAATTTCATGAGAACATATAACGTGTAAGCTTTCAAGGGATGACACGTGCTTTGTGGTTCATATTTATCCACTCTATTATTGAGCAGGAATATGGTTTTTGAGTTAATCTTAAGTTGTCTACACGATAAAAGTGATGCATTGTAGGTTCCGAGGAAAGCAACCTGGAGCATCGTCCTTGAAGATCTACACTGAATGGCGGTCGCCCTATTTTCACGAAAAATAATACTGTAAAGAAAATGTTAACAAGAATCACCCTCACCTGAAATTCCATGTGCCAAATATCCGAAAGTGGAACCCCAACTTGAAACCATCTGATCTGTTTGAGAAAGTAAGAAAATATCGACAAAGGCGTGTTTTGCTGCCCTAATCTGAGTTGAATCATTTAAGAAATACCGATTTGCTCTTCTAGAGTCGAAAGTAGCTATTTCGAGACAAGTCATCTTTCTAATATGGCTTAGATTGTCTGTATCGTCACTTGCTATGAAGAGAACAACGGGTTTAAGACTTGTCTGTTGCAGGGCTACATTTGCCGCACATTGCACAGTTGATCGTAGTCGATCTAGACTGTTCAGTTTTTTCCAGCGAGGAGCATTATTTCTTAGCCTAATTTGCATGCCTTGCAAGGGTAAGATATAGCTGAAATGGAAGATATCCCCTTACCGATAACCAGCTTTTTATGGAACTGCATCTCTTGCATAAATACCAATGCAGCTCTTTTAATCTCTGGAGTGAATTGCAGTACTTTGTTCGCTATCGAATAGAATGGACGATTACCTGTTTGGGGACGAAAGTTTGCACTATTTTGTAATATTTTAGAGATAAACCTACCAAGTATTCTACAAAGTTGGTAGTTATAGTCTTTTCGAATGTAGAGCAAGGGTGCAAAGAATTGGTTACTCTGCAAGACTACATTTGAAAAGGAAATGGAGTCTGTATGAAACCTTAAAATATTCAAATAAGCCCTTTCCATTTGTTTTGTAAATGGCAGCCAGATTTGGTCATGTTCGCTTGCATGAATGGAGTAAACTTGATTCTTCATTAGCTTTTCTAATGACATGTTTCTACTCGTTGCCAGTAAAGATAAGTCAGGAAATACACCCCATTTGTCTTGTATTATATTTTCCAACTTGACTGGATGGAAGTGCACGAACAAAGCTCTCTTTGTTACCATTGCCAAGAGTAGAGTGGAAATCAATCCCAATATGTTATTTCCCCATCCAGAACTACTTTGTGTATAAATTAGAAGAGGTATAGACAGGTTTCTTCGCAGAGCTTGTTGTGCCAATTCTTGTTGCCTTGTCAAGGCAACTTCAAGTAGAGCACCTGAATTTTCTTCAGTAGATGAACACAAGGAGCGAAGTTGTTCTGTCGTTTCTAGAAGATGGTTTTGAACATCTGCATGGAGAACTTGTTGCCAAACCTGCGGAAAGCCTAAAAAGTAAGACGCTGTGCAGTTGAATAGTATTAAAGTAGTAACATGCCAACATAAAACAAGTAAGGTTTTCAAGAAAGCTTTGCAAATCATATGCCGCCGAAAATTCAAAATTTCGTTGTCATTGAAGTTTACATTTTTTTTTCCAAAGCAATCTAAGACTTCATTCGGTTCTTCCGTAAAACGATGAGAGAGGTGATGTTTGAGAGCTAAATTGTCGTGAGAATAAACTGCTAAAACGCATATCATAAACAAGACAAATTCTTCTGCTTCGAAAGAAATTGTGCAATGAAGGCTACTCAAGAGCTCTTCCTTCGAAAAAAAACAGTTTGTTGTATTTCATTAATATGGATTTGATATATCCACCATTTACAACTTGACAGAGACATGGAACAACTGAAACATTCCGAAACTTCATTATTGAGAAGAATGGAGGGAATCCCCTTCCAAGTTACGTTGTTGGAAATTGTTCTATGGCCACACATTCGAAGAGATCCATCTATCTTTTCTTTCGAAACAATCGTGGAAAGCTTCCTTATTCTCTTTCAAGCTGATTGACTCCCACCGTAAGAACTCTACGTTTCTTTTTTGAGTTCTGTTAATTCAAAAATAATAACTGTTAGAGTAGACTGGACAACAAGGGAGATTGTCATATCATCTTTTCAGTAGTGTCACCTTATCTTCTCTTAAGAAGTATCACAGCTCTCATAGAAGCTTGCAAAAGATTATCGTGACGACAAATATAGTTATATTGACTATTTATATTGTGAGACAAGTTACGCTCATGAAAAAGACGGTTGTTCTGGTTGGCCTAGGTCACTGCCACGTTCAGGTAGTGAGGAGCTGGAATAAGGTTCTTGACAAGCATTGGAAGAAGATAGTTATTTGTCCAGAAGATAAAGTTGTATATAGTGGAATGGTAACTGGATGTATAGCAGGCGACTACCAGTTGGAAGAAGCTTGCGTAGATGTCAAGTCGGTTTGTAGTTATTTTGGTTGGACTTGGGTCAAGGTAAGTGAAGCGCTTCAGTTTCGGAAACTCATGCGGCATTTTTGCAGTCCGCGGCCTATGAAATAATACCTGAAAAACAAAGGATTCGCTGTAGGTCCACAAGAGGAACCCAATTTGAACTTTCCTACGACGTTTTATCTATCAATGTTGGATCAGAAACTCCTTCGTTGGGACAAGTCGCGGTTGATGAGGCTGTGTTGAAATGTGGCCGCATCTTAACTGTTAGACCGATTGGTACAGTATTGTCCAAACTGGATCGATTGGAAAAGGAACTCTTAGAAGAGAGAAGCTGTAGAGATTCTATTGTTGTAGTTGGAGGAAGTTATGCCGGTGTAGAACTCGCATTTTGTTTAGAAAGTCGTTTGAGAAAGAAAGGTATCGATAACAACGTTTGTATTATTGAGTCAGCATCGGTATGTATCCGTTTCATGTTTGGTTATACTTTTACTCTCATCTTACTAAAACGTGTTGGATAGGATGGTTTACGTCGTAACTTTGGTATTTTACCAGCTATGCTTATAAGGAATGCCTTGAGAGGAAGAAATATTCAATATGAAGATAGTCTCCATATCGTTGCTATCAAAGAGAGGTTCGTTTGCGATGTACATTTTGAAGAATGTTTCTGAGCGAATGTTTAGAGAAATGTTTTTTCAGAATGGTACTCGTTTACCTTATGCTTTTATACTTTTGTGTACTGGAGCTGAACCTCCCAAGTTTCTTCGACAATGTGACTCTTTGGCTAAAGATAACCAAGGGTTTGTAAAGGTACTGCCAACCCTGCAAACCTTAGATTATTCCAATATCTTTGCCTGTGGAGATTGTTGTTCTTTTTTTGGAAATCTTCCGAAAGCTGGAGTTTATGCAGTTCGACAAGGAGCTATTTTGGGAGAAAATATTCGCTTGTTGTGTGAGTCCTATTCTTATAATTGGAATCAACCCCAGCTTTATCATTTTTGTCCTCAGAAATATTATCTTTCTTTAATATCAACTGGCGATAAACGAGCAATTGGCGTGAAATATGGTTTAGCTTGCTATGGGCGTTGTCTATGGAAACTGAAAGATAAGATTGATCGAGATTGGATTCATAAGGTCAATCAAACAACGGATGCATCTCATCATTTTTGGTGAATGAGAAAGAGATGCATTAGAATCTCGTATTAAATGATGAGTCATGCTGGTCTTATGTTTTGCGATGGTTCTTCAACTTTACTGAAACTTGGTAGATTGATTAACCAACCTTTGCTTAGAAATGAATACAAGCCATGTTTGACGTCTAGAACAGTAATTTGTTTATCCAGAAACTTTAAAGTTCTACTAAAACATAGTCGTGAGCCTTTTAACCGAAACTTCTCTGTTTATGCTAGGGTTCAACTAGAGCCAGACAAGAGGTAACTCGGTCCCTACTAAAATCAGATAAAGAAAGTAAACAAAGGTCAAAAAAAATAGAGTTCCAGTTGTTTTGTTGGCTTCCACCGTTTTGTGCTCTAGACCTGTTTTAAACTGGGAGTGGTTGGAGTTGTTCCTTGGTATTCTGACAATTGTAGCCTTCTTTCAAGTTTTCACCTATACGATAGAGTTTACAGAGAATGGCAGGTTACAAAATAGAGTAGTTTTTGGTTGGTTTTGCTGACAGTTACTTTTGTGTAGCCTTTGATATTACCCGTGGCGGAAAACTTATTCGGAGCTATCCGTACACAGAGTGGCTAAGTTGGAGGTTTATTCCAAGCTCCTATTTCCCTATTTTGCTATATTTTAAAGAATACAGCGAAAGGCGCGAATCTGAAGGAGGTCCATCGACAAGGTGGCACCTATTGCCAGTCTTATATAATCCAACCGGATTTGTCAAGGTAATTAACTGTGTCTGGACCTTCATTCTTTTACTTACTATGAACACTGTAGATGGTTGAGTCCAATTTACCAAGAAACAGTAAATAAGATAACCAGAACTTTACATAGAAAGTAACCCACATTTTCTCTATTCTATTTTAACTGCATCATGACTCTTATCCTTGCTCTCTTTCCAAGATTTCCAATGCAGCGAACCACGAATGTTTCTTCCTAGCCAAACTAACATGGGAACTATAGCAAATACCATACTATAGAAAACAACTTGTTTGAAAGCGGATAATTCATGTTGGAACTAGTTTCCAGGCGAGTTATTTGGAGTAAACAGAAAAACTCAGTAGCTTACCGGATATGGCCAATTCCAGTCATTTAAATAAGCACAAAGAAAAGTCCAACAAAAATAGAAAAAAGCAAAGCCTAGACTCCAACTTGCTTCCATCCAAAAAGACTGCCTATATTTTTCTATCACGGAAGGGTCCAAAAAGAACTTTACAATAGTTATTCTATTTAAAAAAAGCATAAGAGAATATTTCTTACCGAGTCCAAGAAAACATAAAGTAAGGGAAACCCATGCAACAAGTGCATGAGTTTGTCGAAATGCTTCACTTGGTGTGCAACTTTTCTCACTCTGGAAAACAAGATAAATTAGCTACTTCTCTTGCAATATAACTTACTCCTTGTGAAAGTGTATGAGGGTGTAATAGCCAAGACCCATAAAAGCACCACTTGGGAACGCAAGACCACTCGTCTGATAACAGAATTTTTCCAACCGGTTGAACCATGAATACTTGTTATTATCCGGTAAAAAAGCCTTTAGGCAGGAAGTTGCAAGTGCCAACAAAGTATACGCAAACAGAATGAGGTTGGTTTGAACGGTCAAAAATATCAATTTCCCTCCAAAACGCCTTTGTTTTTTGTGAGTGGGACTAGTAAAGAATTGAAGGCGTGTTACTTGAAAGAAAATAAATAACGCCGTGAAATAGAATAGCGGTCTAAAGAAATATTCTCCTCTTCCCAGTCGTAACATTCTTCTTTCACAAAGCTCCCGACCAAATTACAATTTTATTTGGCCTTTGGGAAGAAGAAATGCACGTGCTCCTTGACTCTCTTCAGAGCCTATATTTCTTATTTCTTTTATCGAACTCGGGCTTTTTTTCGTCTCTTTTTGTATGTTTAAAGCGACATACGAAACTTCTTTTTGTAGAGTCTCTTACCCATTGAAACCAGCAGCCATCGAGAATTCATGCAAAATACTAAAAGAGAATATCAAAGTATTTATGCCCGTAATTTAAGCTAGACAAGAGCGAATACATTATTTAGCCTTGTCAAAACAATTAATTATGTGTGCAAAGTCATCGGGAAGATAACTTTCTTTGGAGCTTGACATTGAATCATTCTTTCAAAAGCTTCATCAAGTCTAATCATTATAGAATGCTTTCTAAATAATATTTGGATGACATAAAAGAATGTTTACAGAGAAATCAAATGCCCAAGGTCCATCCTTTGTTGCCTTTGACATTCCTTAACAACGAAGTGCAAATAGAGGAAATCATAGTACAGAGAGTTGTATTGGGGAGATCGATTCGAGGCTTGCACATTGTTAGCACACAATACGCCACTGACCGACTCTACAATGTTGCAAGCGTTCATATTTAGGAGTACGCTTACAATGAAGAATACAAGAAAGAGATTATTTTGTAGAAATTGCCAGAGTGCCTACTGTTTGCCCTTGAATCGTCTAGCCAAGCGAGAATACAAACGTTATCAAATGAAAAGTGACTTTGATGCTGTGAACCAAAACTTGACTGGAAATGAATTTCCCAAAAGTTCTTTGGATGGTGTCTCAACTTGGAAACCAGTGGGAGAAAGCTCGACGCATAATGATAACACTCGTCCGTCTCCAGTTTCGTCAAACCCGAGTGAAGAAGCCCCGACTTCATATGACACAAGTAGCGTCAATCAACTCTCATCGTTTGATGGATTAGTTGAAAGTGTGTCAAAAAAGGTTCCTGATTGGTTATACAAGCCAGCAATAGCCAGAGACTTCCCCAGACCTAGAGTGCCATCATCACCTGAGCTCATTCATAGATACGAACAGAGGCGCAAGTTTTTCAGTGCTTATCCAGGAAGAGCAGTTCTTGTGTGTATAGGTGCATTGATCACTTTAGCAACCCCTTCGAGAGCTCCTACATTTCTCACGATACCTGTGCAGTTTGTCGCCCTGTCGATGATTGCTTTACACGTCATACTACTATTCATCTGGCTATTTGGTGTAAATGGAGCAGCAGCTCATATTTACACTCCAACTGAAGAAGAATACAACAAGATAAAGGATAATCTGGCCACACCCGAAACAATGCCCATATTACCTGCTGAAAGAAGAAACGAGTTTGGTCAGAAAGTTGGTTTATTTTGGTCGAGCACTATACTTTCTCCACCTACTTGGGCATTAATACTGGGTCTATTAGATTCAGGAGTGT